GCGCGAAAGCGCGATTTGGGAATACAGTCGAACGAAGTATCAAGCGGGAACCGTTGTTGTTGCTGCTGTTGCAATCCGGGGGCCATGGGTACAGTTTGGTGACCCCCCCCGTGACCCTGGTGAAAAAACAGGGTGCGAGCCCCGGGAGAAGCACTTCAATTGAACGAAATAGAATGGTGACCAGAGAGGGGGGATCAACGATCAATATTCGTCAGAAATGAGAATGCAATAATCACACAACCGCAACAGCAGTAGCAACAACAATCGTTTTAAGAAGACGGTTCGCTCCTATCTGCTTGCGTGCCATCCAACACGTATGCCCAAAAGCCTCGATGCCCGCCGTCTTTGTCTTCGATCGTACCCATTTAAAGGGTATATCTTTCTCACCTGCGACGCGTATTTCGTGCGGCCCCTACGGCAGGGGAATAGAGGACGGATGGAAGGAAGGGACAAGGCGGAGGGAGGAGGATGAGGCACGAGAGAGAGAAGGAGGGGGGGACCAGGAGCAGAAAGCTACGGGCAGACCGGGCGTGTAGGCCCTAACGGGTGGGTCGGGAAGGCGGGCCCAGGCGGCCAGGTCGAGCAGGCAGGTTGCTGAAGGGTGCGTCCTGCATGAATCGTGAAGAAGTCTTTCGCGAAAGCGCAATTCCGAAGTAAATCGTGAGAAAAGCCAGAGCGAGAGTGCGATTCCTGGGTGTCGAGGGCGCGGCGTCTCAATCAATTGCGAGACACCCAACGCGAGAGCGCGATTCTGGCAGAACTGGTGATGGAATCACGCGCGAGAGCACGATTTGGAAATCAGCTGTGAGGGAGCATCAGGCGTGAGCCGTTGTTGCTGGAACTCGGAGGCCAGGGGCCCGATTCTGAGACCGAAGACTCTCCCTGGACAAAAGCATGGTGTGAGCCCCCGGAACGGAACGGAACGGCACTTCACTTGAGAAGCACATCGTGCCCCAGGGGGAGGGGATCAACAAGACTTCTTCTTTAGTGGTGAGAACTCGACGACAACAACAGGAATCATGTTAAGACTGTTCGCTCTCATCTGTTCGCATGCCATTCCGCACGTATATCCCAAGCCCTGAACACCCGCCGTCTTTGCCTTCGATCGTACCCATTTGAGTGGTATCTCTCTCTCTCACCTGCAACGCGTATTTCGTGCGCCCCCTACGGCAGGGGAAGAGAGGACGGATGGAAGGAAGGGACAAGGGGGAGGGAGGAGGATGGAGTACGAGAGAGGGTAGCATGAGGGGGCTAGGAGCAGAAAACACATGGCAGAACCAGACGGGAAGCTCGGACGGGTAAACCCTAATGGGTGGGTCGGGAAGGCGAGCACGGGCAGCCAGGTCGAGCAGGCGGGTTGCTGAAGCGTGCGTCCTGCATGACTCGCGAGGAAGTCTCGAACGACAGCGCGATTCCCACATAAATCTTCCAGAAATATACAACGAAAGCGTGATTCTTGAATGTCGCGGGCGCGGCGTCTGAATGTATTGCGCGGGAGTCCCACGCGACAGCGCGATTCCTGCATACGTTGTGGGGAAGTCCCGCGCGAGAGCGCGATGTGGTAATAACTTGTGAGGAATAGTTTGCTGACCCCATGTGCAGTTGTGAGTAACGCGTTGTGGGTGCCGCTTTCGGTGGAACTCCCTATAGGGCCACGAAACGCGTGAGGCACGTGCCGTAATGGGTGGGGGACAAGCATGCGGGCGGTGGTCCCTATGGGCCACGAAACGCTGTCCTGGATGTGGCTGACGCATGCAGGCGGTGCCCCTCGCTGGAGCTCCCGATGAGGCCACGAAACCTTGTATTGGTTGGGGGAAACACATGCGGTCGGTGACGCTGGGGTCTTTCTGTGGAGCTCCCTACGGGGCCACGAAACGCTGCACTGGGTGGTGGCCGACGCATGCGGGCGGTGCCACCAGGGGCTTTCTGTGGAGCTCCCTACGGGGCCACGGGAGGGGGGGGCGCATGCGGGCGTTGCCACTGGGGCCTTCGGTGGCCACTGGAGCTCCCTACGGGGCCACGCAACGCTGTACCGGGGGAGGGGCGCATGCAGGCGGTGCCACTGGGGCTTGGTGGAGCTCCCAATGAATGGGGCCGCGAAATGCAATACTTGGTGGTGGACGATGCATGCGGGCGGTGCCACTGGGGTCTCTCTGTGGAGCTCCCTATGGGGTCACGAAGCGCTGTACTGGGTGTGGCGGACGCATGTGTCCGGGGTGCGCCGAAATTGGTGGCATGGACGCGTGCGAACGGCACCATTGCAGCTGCAGGTGGAGCACCCTACGGGGCAACGAAACGTGTGAGGGGTGTGCCGAAACAGAATCATGCGGAGGGCAGAGGCAGGCATGGGAGGAGGGAGGAGGGGGAGGAGGAAAAGTGAGGGACGCGGGGCGCTCTCCCGTCAAAAAGAGGACCCAACACCAACGGATGGTTAGGAAAGAACGATAGCGAGAGAGAGGGTGCAGCTAAAGGCAAGCGCGCCTCGACCTTCGAGTCCAGGCCAGGGATACTCACGTAAGTCTTGCCTGATTGGGAGAAGGGCGACGGCGACGAGGAGAGGAGGCTACGGCGGGGTCCTTCTCCATCCTGTCCTTGCATGCGAGTGCAGATACACGTTTGGCCACTGCATGATAAAACCCGGATGCCTGCGCGCAACAGGGGTGAAGTGCACGAGACCATTCTCATCTCGAGAAAGCATCCCGACGGCCGACGGTTTCTCCACGTTTTTTGGCGAAAGGGAGGACCACGAGGATGAGGAGGGCGCGCTTCTGCCGAATCCTCGGACGGCGTCGTCCGATCTGTCGTGCCGCTACCCGCGCGCGCGCGCGCCAGATCCACGCCGAGGAGGAGGAGGAGGCGGGGGAGAAGGAGGAGGAGGAGGAGGAGGAGGAGGAGAAGAGGGACAGGGAGGAGGACGAGGAGGAGGAGGAGGAGGAGGAGGAGAAGGAGGAGGAGGAGGAGAAGGCGGGGGAGGAGGATGAGGAAGAGCGGGAGGAGGAGGAGGAGGAGGAGGAGGCGCAGGAGGAGGAGGAGGAGGAGGACGAGGGCAAAATCTCGTGCCGAACCCACGGCAGATCCACAGGCCCCTGGAGGCCTACACAGTCTAGACCTCCAGAGTCTTTCTTAGTCTAGACCTCCAGAGTCTTTCCTAGTCCAGAGTCTTTCCTAGTCTAGACCTCCAGAGTCTTTCCTAGTCTAGACAGTCTAGACCTCTAGACTGCAGAAGGGTCTAGTCTAGACTAAACCAGACCATTCTCTTGGACCGGCTTCTCAACCCGGGCCCGCCTCGAACGCCCCGGGGCCGGGCGAGGGCCCGCCACCGCAGCCGACCGAACGCCCCCTGTCGTTATTTTTCTGTTGTGCACGACGCGGGAGGTCTGCGCGCGCCGGAGTCCCCCGGGAGGCACCCACTTCGCGGCGGCAGGAGGAGCCGGAGGCCACTGCGCGTTCGACGCGAGGGCGCTCAACCACTGCCCGACGTGCCCTGCGAACGGCAGCATCCCGCCCTCATCGTCTTCCCGCACAACCTCCTCCTCCTGCGCCTCCTCCTCCTCCTCCTCCTCCTCCTCCTCCTCCTCCTCCTCCTCCTCCTCCTCCCCTTCTTCTCTCCGCTTCCTCTCTTGTCCTGCTCCTCCCCTTCTTCCGTCCGCTGCCCCGTCTCTCGTGAAAGGCCAGGAGTGTGAGGAGGTCAGCTCTGGGGCACACATTAACATTAATCAAACGCTTGACCCTCCGAAGTCAACGGAGATCGACCGCTCGGAACCCGTCCCCGAGACGGAGCCAACGCCTCCTGCACACGTCGGCCGAGGGCCGGCCTCGGACCGTCTTCAAAGCCAGGCCTGAAGATTCAACGGATTCCTCGGATCCAGCAAGCCAAGGCTCCGCGAGGAGGAGGAGGAGGAGGAGGAGGAGGAAGGAGGAAGAGGAGGAGGAGGAGGAGGACGAGGACTCCACGGTGCCACTCGGCACGCGGGCCGCGGGGCCCTTCTGCTCGAGGGGAGGCCCCACGCAGGAAAAAACACCGCCAAACATCGGAGGGCCCCGTGCCGGGGCCCCCAGCGGACCCCAGCAGCCCCCACGAAAGTTCGACTGGGGGATCGACTGCAAAAACTAATGTACCCTAGATATGTTCTGCTCATCGGGTCTACGAACATACGCAAAACAATCCGAATATCTACGAACCTTCTACGCACTCCTCTCGTGAACTCGACGCGAAAGTCAGTGCTGGGGCAAATCAATTCCGCAGTCGATCCCCTGCTCGAGTAGTAGGGCAGCCAGGGCTGGCGCTGCCCCGGGGCGGCGCGGGCCCCACCGGGCGGGGGCGCCGTGCGGCGCGCCGCCCTAGACAGTGGCGCCAGGGGCCCCGCGCAGCAGCAGACGGGCCCCCCGCCTCCCGCACCCCTCATACCCGCGGAGCTGGCGAGGGGGCGCCTCCGCGCACCGAGGCGGCGGGCCAGGCGCGCCGCCTGCGCGCGCGCCTGCGCCCCCTCCGCGCCGTCGGTCCAGGCGGCGGGCGCTGCCGCAGAGGCCGCCGCCCGGGTTCAGTAGCAGCGCGGGCGCCCGCGAAGGCGGCGCTGTCGCGGCGTCGCAGGCCCCGAGGGGCGCCCGCGCAGGCGCGCCCTCCGAGGGGGACCCTGGGAGGGGGAGGGGGGGAGCAGGACGAGGACGAGGAGGACGAGGACGAGCCCTCCCCCCCCCGGAGGCGCCTCTGGCAGACGAGGGCGGCCAGCCCGAAGGGGAGGGGAAGTGGAGGAAGGAGCGGGAGGGGGGCGAGGAGACGGGGGTCGGGGGGCGTCGTCGGGGGCGTCGGTGGTCGTCGCCGTGGGCGGCCGTGAGCGGAGAGGTGGCTGTGCTCGTTGCGCTCACCGTGACGGGTGGCGGCGGGGGCGTGGCGCTGCAGGTGGCGCTGCCAAGGTGGTCGAACGGCCGCCTTGGCGCTCACTGCACCAGCGTTGCTGCGCGGGCGCCGCGCCCATCCGCTGGGGAGGGGCATCGTATGCCGATGGCCCCAAGCAGTGCCTCGGGCCTGCTCATCTGGAGGAGGTCAAATGCCGTCAGGCGTGCGGCAGCACCTCGGTGCGGGCTGCCGCCCCCCACCCCCAGACGCGCGCCAATGGACCGCACGTGGGCCATGGCCGCGTCCTCAGGCGACCGCCCGTCTCGAAGACGACGGGACGAAGTCACCGCCATGAGGTAGATACCTCCGGCGCTTGTCGCCCTCGCGGCTCTAGGCCGTCCCGGCCCGAGCATGCCCGCTCGCGCGACTGGTCGTCGCGGTGGGCGGAAGCGATGCCCGCGTCGAGGTGGGACCACGTTGCCCGTGACCGCGTCGCGCGTGGCGACGTCCAGCTTGGCCTCTTCTAGCACAACGGTTCTAGGGTCGCTGCGGCTCCAGGCCATGACCAGCTGATTTGTGGCTACTGCGTTGCCCGTGACTTCTGGTGGTAGGCCGCACAGAAGTCGCTCATCGTGTCGTACTTTAGCGCACGGGCACTTCAGCGCGTGTCTCCCCCGTCTGTCCAACGGCGCGCCACAAACCGTGCCGTCCTGCTTGCGGAGCTGGCGCTGCGCTCTGGGGGCGTAGAGGTCGCGGCGCAGGCGGTCTGCTGAGGCCACTTGGACGTGGCCATTCAGGACCCTCGCCGGAGTCGCCCCTTCCCTGACGACGGGGGCTTCGAGCCACCCTCCCGCGCCAGGCCCTCCAGCAGAGCGCAATTCCACGTGGAGCCCCCGCCCACCCTCAGCGTGAGGACCAAGTCGTCGCGGGCCCGCTCCCGCAGCAGCCCAGTCCAGTGCCCCTGCCGGCCAGCGAGCGGTTCGTCGAGGCAGCTGGCCCAGTGCACCGCGTCGATGGCCCCGTCTCTCTGCGCTCGCAGTCTTTAGGGGAACAAGCAACGGCATAAACATAAAAACTCGGAGGTCCGCGCGGATTGCTCGGATCGGCGCTGGACCGCCCTCCCTGGCGCGCGGAGCGCGCCAGGGGCGGCGCCGGAGGCGCCGCCGGGGGGCCCCAGCGCCGATCCGAGAAATCCGCGCGGACCTCCGAGTTTTTGTTTATGCCACTTTTTGTTCCCCTAGTCTTGCCTCTGCGCGCCAGACGGCGTCGGCTGCCGCTGGTCGCCGTTCTGTGAAGCTCTGCCAAGAGGCCACGTCCAACCAAGCTCGCACGCTCTTCAAGGTCTGCTGGACCCAGCTTCCCAGGTAAGCTGCCGCAGCCGTCTCCGCCGCCGATGTCAGCCCGAATCCTCCGCGCGCGCGTCGTAGGAAACAATGTGCTGTATCTGCTCCTGCCACTTTCTCCAGCCGCTTCTCTTCCGTCCCCTTCTGCGTCTCCTGCTCCTTCAAGCCAGTGAGCCTGAGAAGTGAGCCACACACCGTGTGCACCAGCCCTGATTGGCCCCATGCGACGTCGTCGCGTGGCGGCATGAGCGCATGCATGCTGGTCTCTGGGGGTCCTTGGATGCTCCCAGATGGCTACAAAAACCTTGAACCTCGAACTAGGGAGCCACATGCGAACCCTACCCCTACCCCCCACGATTTCTGGGGGGGAGGGTGGGATTCACTTCGCTCGGGAGCTCCCGAACGAGGTGACCCCCCCCCCTCCCCCTCAGAAATCGCGGGGGGGTAGGGGTAGGCTTCGCATGTGGCCCCCTACGAATGAGGAGCGGGAGGAGGATCCTGCATCCACTCAGAGACAGGTCCCTCTCGTTATTCCATCCTGGCTAGTGTCCCGAGCTGCACGGCGCGTGGCGACGAGAGGTCCCCCGGGAGGCCAGAAGAGAAGGGTCGAGGAACGAGGATGATGACAAGCATCGAGGATCGAGGAAGAGAAGGGCGACGAGGATCGATGATCGAGGGCATGGCTGGCCTGGTATGTCCTCGTGATCTACCTCCAGGTCAGACAAGGCCGTCCTCCGGGATTGGGACGGGCACGGCACGCCGGAGGGGGGGCGGGACCGCGCACCGCCCGACCACTGCTGGACTGCGCCCTGGAAGCGCGTCGTGGCGCATGTTTCGTCGCTCCTCCTCCTCCTCCTCTTCTTCTTCTTCTTCTTCCTCCTCCTCCTCCTCCTCCTCCTCCTCCTCCTCCTCCTGCCTCCTCCTCCTCCTCCTCCTCCTCCTCCTCCTCCTCCTCCTCCTCCCTCCTCCTCCTCCTCCTCCTCCTCCTCCATCCATCGCTCCTCGCTCCTCGCTCCTCGCTCCTCATCCTCCTCCTCCTCTTCCTCCTCCTCCTCCTCCTCCTCCTCTTCGTCGTCCTCCTCCGCCTCCTCCTTCTCTGGGCTCCAGGGCCATCGCGCAAAACGATCCGCGGGGAGGAGCCGGTCCCCCAGAACGGGGTCGAGAGCCCCAGGAGCCGGGCACTTTCGCGCCACCCTGATGGGTACTCCGTAGACGGGGATGCAAGTCGAGGCGTGCAGGCGGCGGTGCCCTCTCGCTTTCCTGCGCCATGCCGCGCGAGAGTGGCGCTGTCCTGCCGCCTTCCTGCGCGCGCTGACCGAGGGCGCGGTAGTGAGTACCCATTGCGGTGCCGCTGAGTGTCTAAGAAAAGATCACGACACCGGAGGTCTTTCTCCCCCCTTCCTCGAGGATGCTGTGTTCCCTGTGAGGGTGCGCAAGTTCGGCCGTTTGGGCTCCTTCTGGGGCCTGTGGACACCTCCGAGACCGTCGGAGATACATATCTGGGGACTGGAGGCCTCTGGGGACTTCCGGGGACTTCCAGAGAACCCTGTAGGCCACCTCCATCTTCTCCTTGCTGCCGTGGCCGTGCCTCAAAGTACGCCTCACTGCTCTGAAGGGCATCCGCCTGTTTGGTCACAAGTGCAAATCTTGTTCGCGCGTGCGAGCTCACCGAGACTGCTGAAGAGCGCGGGCTCGACTCTCCCCCTCTTTGCTTGTGAATGCCATGGCAATGGACACTCTAGCAATCCGATCATTGAATTAAACATGTGTTCTCAAAGTGTAAAACATGCTCTAAACTGTATCAAACATGTCTTTACATATTGAAACCATGTTTGACACATTTTCTGACATCTGGAGATTCTTTGGCAGCGCGCTTCCTCTCCATTAATCGACTTCCACAACTCGTTGCTCACCTCAGATCCGCCACCATGCCGCTGGGCACGGAGTGAGCGTCCTCAGGTCCGTCGCCTAGTCTTAAGCCGGGCCTGTCCCCCTACAGGCCGATTTAGGACGAAAGTAAAGAAATACCCCAACAATATTCCAAAATGGTTAAAAATAGGCAACAACTCGTCCCCAGACTATTTTTTCCTATTTCTGAATATCCCCCCTGCAGAGGGGCAAGCCCGACTTAAGCCCAAGGCCCTGAGGACTCCCGAGGAGCCTTCCGGGAGCCCAGGGGCCCAGACTCTCCGGGTGCTTCTCGCGCGCTCCTTGGGGGCGCCTCTCGAATCTTCTCGCGCGACTCTGTCGAGCCCAAGGAGGGGCCAACGACGGGCCAAGAGGGCTCCACGAGGCCCCCAAGACGGTCCGAGAGGGCCCCGAGTCGCCGAAAGATCGCACCAAGACGCCCAAGGTGGTCCCAAGACGGCCCAAGAGGCCTGCACGACGCTCCCAGAGAGCCCAAAGAGCCTCCCCAAGATATCCCCCAGAGGCCAACATCATTGATCCCCCACAGATCTTTCAATGATTTTGGAGGTGCCCTCGACTTTTCGAGCTCCCGACTCCAAGATGGCCCAAGAGGCCCCCAGGACCAGCCCAAGACGACCCGAGAGGCCCCCATGAGGGCCCCAGCACGACCCATGGGGGCTCCAAGACAGCCCCAGAGGCGGCCAAGACGGCCCAAGCAGGCCCAAAGACAGCACAAATGAAGGCCCACGAGGGGGAACACGAACCGAAAATCCGAGTCTTCCGCCCCAAGAAGCCCCCAGGAGGCCCCAAGGAGGCCCCGAGAGGCCCCCAAGAGGCCCCCCGAGAAGCCCCACAGGGAAACAGGGAAACGGGTATGCACCACACCACCCCGACGTCGTCCCGAACCCTCAAAACTTCCTGGGATTGAACACCAGCCCGCCACTGGTAATGTATATGCTCCAGTCTCCGAGTATAGATTCCCGCGGCGGAGGCCGCTGGAGGCCTCTCGGGAGGAAACCCTGTCCACACCCTGGGAACTGACGTCCTGGTGTCCCGGCGGGCGGTGGATACGGATACACACACACACACACACACATATATATATATATATATACCTATACCTATACGACCACCCTGCGGGTGATAAGGAGGTTGCGGGGGGGGGGAGGGGGGTGGCTCATGACGACAACTGTGATGAACGTGGTGCTGATGGGCGATGATGGTGTGGATGACGTGGCGGATTTTTTTGTTCCTTCGCTTGGGCGACTTGTGTCGCCCAAGCGACGGGCAACCGACGGGACAACGTGGGCTACCGACGGGACAACCGACGGGCAACCGACGGGACAACGTGGGCTACCGCTTGACAAGGCCGGGGAGGGGAAACATTTGTGTTGGCGGACCCCTAGCAACAGCAGAGTGAATTCCTCTCGCTGGCCCACGCAGCTTCGCCTCGCCCGCACGCACGGCACGAGCACGAAATCGAAACTCGATTTCCCGGTGGGGGGACTCCGTTACACTGCGATCTCACCCCCCAACCTCCGATCGATTTCACAATCGATCTAACTATCGATCTCACAATCGGTCTCACAACCGATCTCACTATCGATCCCACTATCGATCTCACATTCGATCTCACAATCGATCTCACTTCTGGTGCCACTATCCATTTCACGATCGATCTCACTATCGATCTCACTATCGATCTCACTATCGATCCAACATTCGGTCTCACATTCGGTCTCACTGTCGATCTCACTTTCGGTGTCACTATCAGTTTCACGATCGATCTCACTATCGATCTCACTATCGATCTCACGACAGGACAACGGCGGGCGACCGACGGGACAATGCGGGCTACCGCTTGACACGCGCCGGCCGGGAAATCATTTATATTGGCGAACCACTAGCGACAGACAGGACAACGGCGGAAGACCGACGGGACAATGCGGGATACCACTTGACACGCGCCGGCGGGGGAAACATTTATGTTGGCGAACCACTAGAGACAGACAGGACAACGGCGGGCAACCGACGGGACACTGCGGGATACCACTTGACACGCGCCGGCGGGGAAAACATTTATGTTGGCGAACCACTAGCGACAGACAGGACAACGGCGGGCAACAGACGGGACAATGCGGGCCACCGCTTGACACGCGCCGGCGGGGGAAACATTTATGTTGGCGAACCACTAGCGACAGCGGAATGAATTCCTCTCGCCCGCGCGCGCAGCTTCGCCTCACCCGCACGCACGACACGAACACGAAACCGAAACCGATTTCCCGGTGGGGGGCTCTCCGTTCCACTTCGATCTCACCCCCCAACCTCAGATATAGATATAAATATATATATATACATATATATACACACATATATATAAATAATATTTCGGCCCCCAGGGGCACGACAATGTCCAAATTTCTATAGATGTATATATATATATATATATAGAATATTTCGGCCCCCGGGGGCACGAACGTGTCCATATCCACCGCCTGCCGAGGCTCCGAAGACCGACCCTCCAGGCGCGGGTCGTGCACAGACTCCCGCCGCGGAGAGTCCGTGGGCTGCCTCGAGGCCGCCGGAGGCCTCTCGGGAGGCAGCGGTCGGCCTGCCGCCCCCCCTTCGAGCTCCCCCGCCACAGTTGGGTCGGGCCTGTCCCCCCACAGGGGGCTTTTCGACGAAAAGTGCAAAATATGCAAAATATTCCGAACATATTCAAAAATATTCAAAATGCAAACTGTTCAGAAATATGCTAAAACATATTCAAAACATATTTTGGACGAAAAGTGCAACATATTCAAAAACTTTTCAAGAGATGCCCAAGCATACGCAAACAAAAATGGTCCCCGGACTATGTTTTGACTATTTTTGAATCTTCCCCCTGTGGGGGGACAGGCCCGACTTAACCCTACAGTCGGGCTTGATTGGAGAGGACAGGCGAGAGGACACAAGACCCTTCCGAAGGCCACACCGCCACACACCGCCACAGGAATGTAGGAAGCATGGGTCGCCAGGCACAGGAGACAAGGGTACCCTCGATCTGGCAGGGTCGACATACTGTTCGCACGCTGCGCGCGCGTTCCGTCACGAATGCGTCGTCGTCGTCGTCGTCGTCGTCGTCGTCGTCGTCGTCATCCGCAGCACCGCCTGGGCAGCCCCACGCGCGGGTGGGAATCTATCCATCTCCACCGCTTGGAAGCCGACGCTCTGGTGCCCCAAGCGAGCGGTGCTTCGGAGGCCACGTGCGAACCCCGCCCCCTGCCCCCCCCCCCGATGTCTGAGGGGGAGGGTGGGGCTCACTTCGTTCGGGAGCTGACCAACGTGCCGAACGGCAACAAGGCCTGCTCCTCCCTTCTCCCTCCTCCCTCCCCCTCCCCTCCTTCTCCTCCTCCTCCTCCTCCTCCTCCTCCTCCTGCTCCTCCCCCGAGCGAAGCGACCCCCACCCTCCTCAGACATCGTGGGGGGGCAGGGGGCAGGGTTCGTACGCGGCCTCCGAAGCGCCGCCGGGGCAGCCCCACGCGTGGGCGGCCCGCTGGGCAGCGGAGCGCGCACACGACGCCCGCTCTGCTGCTCGTGCGGATCCTGGGGGGGGGGAGCTGCTGGGCTCCACTGCTGCGGGAGCGGTGGGGGTGGTCATTTCCCTGGTGCCAAGCTTAACGAAAATGACTACAATCACTGCTTCGTTTCTGCTGGCTGGAAGGCGGCAACAAAAGAAAAGCAGTGGCTGTGGTCGTTTTCACGCCCCGTAGGGGGGACGACGTGGCTGGACTCACCGTGGCAACGCCTGGCGTCGGGCTGTATCTTGCAAGAGTCGTGCTGATCGTGCACGTACGGTCTCCTTCTCCTTGCCATGTTTTTTTTTATTCCAGGGCAACTACCTGGGCCACAGCTTCTACAAGTTCAACTCCATCAGGGCACGTGGTGCATTTCTGCAGGCACAGCGGACACAGCTCGACGTCGGCACACAGCAAGGAGGTAGAAAGAGGATGGAGGACGCGGGTCCTCAAATGTGGGCACCAGTGCACCAGGCGATTGGAGCGGTAGATCAGCCCCTTGCCGTGGAACTGAATGAATGCCGCCTGCGCAGCGCAGCGGGGGAGAAGGATGAGGAGAAGAGAGAACGGCTCTGGCCCTCCCCTTGATCGTGTCGGGAAGTCGCGCCAGGCATGAGACCTCACACCTCCGACGTCGTGACTTGTACTCGACGTGTGGCTCTGGACCTCTCGAAACCCTCCCGGGGACTGCTTTCATCTCGGACTGCGTAGTGGGTCATTACAGTCAGGAACCGAACTGGGTTATGTTCAAGAACTTGGAGGTCTGGGACCATCCTCCAGCCTAAGGGCACACTGAGACCCTCACGCTGGAAGCCCGAGCCGAGCCTCGAGCCCCGAGCCCAAACAACCTTCTGTCTGGTCTCGGGACCTCGGAGGCCCCGGTCGCCCAAGGCGTCCTCGGAGAGCGACCCGAGTCCCCAAACCGTGCGGCGACCCCGAATCACCACTGACTCACCACGCGGTCTGGTCACCGCAGCGTTTGGGAGCCCCCGACCGAGGGAACCGGGCCCTGGGTCCCAGTTCTTCTCCGCGCCGGACCAGCTCGTCGTTCCGAGCCGATGTTCGGGAGGAGGAGGAGGAGGAGGAGGAGGAGGAGGAGGAGGAGGAGGAGGAGGAGGAGGAGGAGGAGGAGGAGGAGGAGGGAGGAGGGAGGAGGAGGAGGGAGGAGGGAGGAGGAGGAGGGAGGAGGGAGGAGGGAGGAGGAGGAGGAGGAGGAGGAGGGGAGGAGGAGGAGGGAGGAGGAGGAGGAGGAGGGAGGAGGGAGAGGGAGGAGGAGAGGAGGAGGAGGAGGAGGAGGAGGAGGAGGAGGAGGAGGGAGGAGGAGGAGGAGGAGGAGGAGGAGGAGGAGAGGAGGAGGAGGAGGAGGGAGGAGGGAGGAGGGAGGAGGAGGAGGGAGGAGCCGTCCCCTGGCTGGGGCACGGCCCCCAGAGGCCAACACACGGCGACCAGCACCTCGGGACCCGTCTCCCTCGGGATCCGCCTGCCCTGCTCGGCGAGAGAGGCAGCGGAGCCGAAGAGAGAACGCGCTCAGGATTGAGTCGGGCGTGTCCCCCTACAAGGGGGATTTGCGACGAAAAATAAACAAACATACACCAAACATGCCCCAAAGATGCCCAAACATAATCAAAAGATAGTCCCCAGACTATTTCTTAACTGCTTTTGACTATCCCTGCTGTAGGGGGACGGGCCCGACTTGAGCTCAGGACCCAGCGACGGCCCTGCCCTCCCGAGGATGCTCCCTGAGATCCGCGGCGAGTGGCCTGCCCTCCCGGAGGTGCGTGCCACGGCCGGCCTCGGCCCCAAAGCAGGCTGCCCCACGGTGTAGAACAAGCGAGAGAGAGGGAAAGAGAGAAGGGGAAAGAGAGAGAGAGAGAGAGAGAGAGAGCTGGGGAGGACGGGGTGAGGGGGGGAGAGGCGAGGCCATACGAAGGAAGGGCAGGCGAGGCGAGATATGCGTAGCACCCTGCAGAGGGGGCGGCTGAGACGTCCGCAGTCTGCTGGGCTCTGAAGGACCCCGCCGCAGGCGCCGAGTTTGTTGTGAAAACAATGTTGGCGGGTCGCGGGATGGGTCGCAAGTGGGTCACGGGTGGGTCGCGGATGGATCGCGGGTGGGTCGTGGGCGGGTCGCGGGGTGGGTCGCGGGGTGGGTCGCAGGTTGGGTCGCAGGTTGGGTCGCGGGTGGGTCGCGGGTGGGTCGCGGGTGGATCGCGGGTGGGTCGCGGGTGGGTCGCGGGCCGGGCCGCGGGGGGGACGACGGACAACAAGCAACAACAGAAAACAGCGGATAACCAACAACAAAAACAACAAAAACAACAACAACAACAGCAACAACAACAACGACAACAATCCGCACCACAGAGTCTTACTTCAGTCACGCGCCCAGGGACAGTGAATGACCGTTCGACCCCGTCACTCTGAGACATACATATACATACATATACACATATAGATGGAGAGAGAGAGAGAGAGAGAGATATAAAGAAAAAAGGACATAAGGAAAGAGACAGAGAGAGCAAACAAACAACACACACACATAAAGAGGACGACCATGCCCCCGTACGCCTGGCTCCTGTTGTGTCGATGTGGACGTTGATCCCCGACAGGGCGTAGCTGTGACAGAATCAGGAGAGACCCCTGCCCTCTGCAATGCCTCTGGACTCCGACGGAATGGTGGCCCGTTCAAGTCGCCGGTGGCCTTCCACCCCGAGCGCCCGCGCAAGCGTCGCCGCCGCGTCGCCGCGCCGCGAGCCTGCCGCAGCCATCTGCCTCCTGCAACTTCACCCCTGCCCCGTCAAGCGTGTGCCGTGCGCCAGCTCGAGCACATGCCAGGGGGCCGCGCTCTACACACCGACGTGTCTGTGCGGCCCTGCACGGACCCCTGCGCAAGAAGGCAACGCCTGGTGCATACGGGACCCTGGTGTATACGTGCTCCAGAATGTTTCCTGGGAAGACGGGGAAGCAAGCGTACACTACACCACCCCGGCGTCGCCCCCGACCCTCCGAAAGTCCTGGGATTGGAAGACGGCCCGCCACTGGTAATGTACAGGCTCCAGTTTCCGACATGCTAAAGGAACGAGCAGCGGGTTGCACCTCCACCGCCCTCGCCAGCATCTTGTCCATGGTGAAGCGCTCCCGAGTCCTGCGCCGGGCGTGGGGCCTCCGCCAGCACTGCGCGCAGTCACTCCACCACCCCGCCTCCCCCTCCCTTCCCCAGCTCCTCAGGCCCCCCCTCTCTTACAAAGACAACGTTCGGTCGGGCATTGTCCCCCCACAGGGGGATCTTGTGCGAAAAACTTTAAAACATCCTCCGAAAAATACCCCAACACAGCAAAACAAATGCTCAACAAATCGTCCCCAGACTATGTTTTGACTATGTTTGAATTCTCCTCCTGTAGAGGGACGGGCCCGACTTACAAACAACGCCTCCCTGTCGCACCACCAGGTGTGTCCGTAGGCCGGGCGGGGCGTTCCGCAGGAGACTTTTCCTTGGGACCCACGGCTCGGAGGGCGAACAACTCCAACGGTTACGTGTGGACAGAGGGCCCGTCCTTCCAAGCATGTGGCTCTCGACTTAGCGCCGCGCGCATTCCTCGTAGAGAACTCCAACAACAACGACACCAACAGCAACAACAACAACAACAACACCAACAATCATTTTTAGACTGTTCGCCCTCATCTGCTAGAGTGCCCAATAACGCGTATTTCCCAAACCCTCGATACCCGCCCTCTTCGTCTTCGATCGTACCCCTTTTGGGGGGTATACCTTTCTTCCCTGCAAGCCGGGCCCCGGCAAGCGGCGGGGCGGCCGCGGACCGTCGACCCGACCCCAAGAGGGACGGACAGGGGGGACCGACCACGACGACGACAACGACGACGTCGACGATGACGGCGACGACGACGGCGACGACGAGCGAAAGCGAGAGCGAGAGAGAACGACACCAGTGCCACGAAGGACACGAAGTAGGCCACGAAGGGCGACAGCGGAGAGCGAACGAGCGGGGGCCACGAAGGGCATATAATGCGGGGCCACAGAAGGCAACGATGGGGCCACTGAGGGAGCAACTGGGCCACGTAGGACAGTGAGGGGGCCGCAAACGGCGACAGCGGAGCCACGAAGGGCATGCACATGGGGCCACAACGGGCGCGACTCCTGGGTGCCTGGGTGTCGGGAGCGCGGCGCTTGAGCAAATTGCGAGAAATGTCAACGAAAGGGCGCAATTCTTCAGTAAATTGCAAGCAAGTTGCCAGCGAGAGCGCGACTCCAGAGCGCCGGGAGAGCGATTCCTGAATACATTGAAAGGAAGTCCCAAGCGAGAGCGCGACTCCTGAATAAAATGCGAGGAAGTCTCGGGCGGGAGCGCGGGGCCTGGCTAAATTGTGAGGAGGTCTCTCAGGCGGGAGCCGTTGTTGTTGCAATCCGGGGGCCAGGGACCCAGTTTGAGCATCAAGACTTTCTCTGTCAAAAAACAAGGTGCGAGCGTCGAGGGACACACTTTGATTGAGAAAAAAAATGATATGCACTGGCGGGGGGGGGGTGGACAATAATTATTCTGCAGAAATGACAGAGTTCAACAACAACAACACAACAACAACAACAACAACAACAATTACTAGCACGTGGGGACACTCCGTTCTCACCAGTGCCAGGGTTTTCATAGGAGGCGGGCAATACCCCCACTTTGTGGGGGGGCCGGTTCAAGCTCTACCAAATTTCCAAACGACTCTTCGCCACCACCCACACCCAGCTTCCCGCCCTATGACGTTCGGACACTTCACTTCGTGGCATGCGGACGACCGTGGCTACTATTCAGGGCCCCGCGGCCGACGACGACGGCGTGCGCGCGCGAAGAAAAAACGAATGTGTCCCGCATGGTATTATTTGACAGGGATGATGGCCCTGGCAGGTGCGCAACCGTTGTCGCAGAAGTTCGAAAAAGTTGCTCGCAAAAGCCCGTTTGACAGAAATGTTTAAAAAGTGTTGGGTTTCCTACGAATCCGCAAGAGCGCGCGGGATGAAATTTTGACATTTTTTTTTGAAAAACCATTGGTTTTTTGATGTTTTTATGTTAAAATCGCTACGAAAACTAAGGTTTTGGAAGGATTTCGTCTTGCGCGCGCGAATGTCCACTTTACCTTATTTTTGCAAGGGATTCTTGAAATTTGATTATATTAGAACAAGAAATGTCATTTTATAGTGTTTTTTGCAAGGGAAAGCGGGGGGGAACAAAACAACCGGATCTTGATCACATCGAATTACCTGAGGCTTCCTCACGAAAATGATGAAAATGTAGCTGCGGCCTAGGCGGCGCAGGGGGGCCGTGCACCAGGGGTCCCAACAATAATTATTCTTTAGAATTAATAATGTTCAACAATCACTTTACCCGAACGCTCAGTGTTCTCACCAGTGCCAGGGTTTTCATGCGACGCCAGCCAATACCCCCACTTTGTGGGGGGGCAGTGCAAGCTCTACCAAATATCCACACGACTCTTCGCCACCACCCACACCCAGCTTCCCGCCCTATGACGTTCGGACACTTCACTTCGTGGCCTGCGGACGACCGTGGCTACTACACTGGCGTGGAGTACACACCCACAGAAGTTGTTAGGACAGCGCGCGCGGGTAGAAATTTTGAAAAGTCGTGCAGGTGTTTTTCGAGGACCTACGGTGCGATTCGTGTGATTTTATGATGCGCGGTGCTAAAATTCTTAAGAAGCCCAATGGTTTTTGGAGATTTCGGCGTGCGCGCGCGAAGAAAAAACGAATGTGTCCCGCATGGTATTATTTGACAGGGATGATGGCCCTGGCAGGTGCGCAACCGTTGTCGCAGAAGTTCGAAAAAGTTGCTCGCAAAAGCCCGTTTGACAGAAATGTTTAAAAAGTGTTGGGTTTCCTACGAATCCGCAAGAGCGCGCGGGATGAGATTTTGACATTTTTTTGTTGAAAAACCATTGGTTTTTTGATGTTTTTATGTTAAAATCGCTACGAAAACTGAGGTTTTGGAAGGATTTCGTCTTGCGCGCGCGAATGTCCACTTTACCTTATTTCTTGCAAGGGATTCTTGAAATTTGATTATATTAGAACAAGAAATGTCATTTTATAGTGTTTTTTGCAAGGGAAAACGGATTACAACAAAACAACCGGATCTTGATGACATCGTATTACCTGAGGCTTCCTCACGAAAATGATGGAAATGTAGCTGCGGCCTAGGCGGCGCAGGGGGGCCGTGCACCAGGGGTCCCAACAATAATTATTCTTTAGAATTAATAATGTTCAACAACAACAACAACTACAACAACAACAACAACAACAACAACAACAACACGGAGGGATAATCGTTCTCCAAATGCGGCTCCCGTCGTAGAACCGCGCGAATCCGTTTTTTGAGATTCCATCAACTACAAAAGTGGCGGCCGGTGCGTGTCCAAAACGCGGATCTCGCTTGAGCTTGCGGCAAAATCTATGAGAGAAGCGATGGAACAATTCTGGCCAAACCGAGCTTCTGCCTCGACAAGGTCTCCCGGCCAAAAGTCTGAAGGAACGGCCCGAAAACCAGAGCAGCTCATAAGCCCATCGTGGCCCCTCTTCCAGCGCCCGGACTGCATCGAGAACGGGACTCCCGCGTGAGACCCCCGCAGTTACATCTTACGATCGGAACCTCGCAGCTGTGAAGCACACGGATGGGGCAGACCCTTTTCAGATCGGGGCTGCTGCTGGACGTTTCCTTCCACCTGGGGACGAAAATTTAAAATGCTAGAAGAAGACCCCGATTTAGCCAAAAAGTATCAAAAGAATCGTCCCAAAACAATTGTTTGATTATTTTGGAATGTTCCTCCTGTAGAGGGACGCGTCCAATTCGACTCGGGGGCGCGCAAACACGGATTAGCGAACCATGGGTTTGGCGCGCGGTCGCCAAATCCATGGATAGGGGGAGGTGCCCTCCCCAAAACTGCGGCCGGTGACGCCTCGTTCGGCGGCGGATTTCCGCGATGTCCCATGGAAGCGGGACCCGTCGCTAATCCACGCCCCCTTGACCCATGTCTGCGATCGCCCGATGAAGGCTAAGAGGATGGAGGGTGAATCATTCGCTCAGCGGGGCCTCGCCTGAGTGGCAGGCCCACCAGGGGTCTGTCATTCAAGGGGGGGGAAGGGTGGGGGGGAGTGGGGGGGGCGCTTCCTGCAGCGGGAAGGCATACTCCCTCCTCCCCCTTCCCACTTCCCCCCTCCCCCTCCCACCTCCCCCCCCCCTCCCTCCCCCCTCCTCCCCCTCCCCCCTCCCCCCTCCCCCATCACCCTCCACCCTCTCCTGCCCGTTAGGAAGAGTACTCGTCGCGACTTCTTCGGAGGGGACTTGGAGCGGGAGGGCGCTTTTCAGCATCGCTGGTGCATCCTGGGTGTACTCTGGCTTTTTCATCCTCCAAGTACTCCTCATTTTCCCCCTCCTCCTGCCTGACGCCCACGCCATCGGCGCTTGTCCTTCTCCTCCAACTTCCTGCTCCTTCTCATGCTCATCCTCGTTATCCCTCTTCCGTCCTCTTCTCTCAATCCTCTTCCTCATCCCTCTCTCTTCCCTCCCTTCCTCCTCCTCCTCCTGCTGGGCCTGGGTACAACACGACTGGGTCGACGAAGAAACCATGGCAGGGTCAGAAGAGATGAAAGCCACAAGGAGAGACGAACTAAAGCTCAAATAAAGACACCCTTTCTTAGCGCGGCTTACCTGCCAGTCGAGCACAGGGAAACCGACTGGAAGTGCAGGGAACGGTAGACCTATGTTCGAGTACACACACACACACCGAGCTGCAGAGGCAGGGAGAGTGTGATTCACAGTGAGGGGGTTGTGAGAGAAGAGGAGGACCCACATCGCTTGGCCGTCGTCGCGTTGAGAGCACCCCCGAACGTTCTGGGATGGAAGGAGAGGGGGGATAATCTGCGCGTGTCCACCGGCTATGAGCAGGCTGGGATGTTTTTTTGTCTCGCGAGCGCGCGCTGGGCTCATTGAGACGGGATCCCAAGACCTCCGACGCCGTAAGTCTTCAGCACAGAATCTCCAGAGGTTTCGACCCTGTGCCCTGGGACAATTTGTCTCCCAAGGTGCACTCTTAATTGAGGCCCAGAAGACGGGCACCTTGATGACGAGACTGAGGGCCATCGCTGGGGTTAAGCAGAGACAATCCGATCCGCCAGGAATTTGGGCCGAGGCGGCCTCTGCGACCATGCGGCCGCTCCAGAAGCCCTGGATACAACAACAAAAAATGCACCTCGCTGTTACTTCCGCCACCTTCCGTTGAGCAGGGACCGACCGTCCCGGCATTCCTATAGGCCTACCACGACATGTTCTTAGAACCCCCCCCAAATGTTCTGAGAACAAAACACTGTTCTTAGAACATCAGCCCGATGTGTCAAAAGAAGACAGCCACAGCCAAAAATGCTCCGAGAGCATTTCGTGAAGACCACAAAGGGGTTCCTGGAGCATTGTTTGAGCAGGAGGAGGAGGAGGAGGAGGAGGAGGAGGAGGAGGAGGAGGAGGAGGAGAGAGGAGAGGAGGAGGAACGAGGAGGAGGAGGAGGAGGAGGCCCTCTTGCTGTTTGAGCAGGAGGAGGAGGAGGAGGAGGAGGAGGAGGAGGAGGAGGAGGAGGCCCTCTTGCTGGAGCAGACGCCCCCGCGTGCAGGAGCGCCACGAGGCCCGGGCCGCGCGCTCCGCTGCTGCTCCAGGGGGGGGGCGGCTCCGTGCGCAGCTGCCGCGGCTCCCTCTCGCAGCGTTCGGCTACACGCAGGAGCGACCCTGGGCAAGAGGGGCCTTTGGCGCGCGGCTTTTTGGGGGGCCGTGGGTGGGCCGCTTCGTCCTCTTGTTCCTCTTTTGCTTCTTCTTCTTCCTCCTCCTCCTCCTCCTCCTCCTCCTCCTCCAGGCCACCGCGATGTAGAAGGCATGGCATTCACCTCACCCAAGGTTGTCGGCCAGGAGTGGTTCACAGGCCCGTTCGCGCCCAGACTGTGCGGACGCATCAGGCGAAGCCCCCCATTTGGAAAAGAGACCCGAGCTTGCTTCGGCTACAGGCAGGAGTGACCCTGGGTAAGAGTGACCTTTGGTGCGCGGCTTTTTGGGGGCCGTGGGTGGGCCAAACACGAGCGCGCAAGACGTCGCTGCCGTCTCGCGTTCGGCGATTGGGGACCCCAATGGGCCCGCACCAGAGGTCACTCCGACGAAAAGTCACTCTTACGTCTAGTCGAAACGTAGAGGGCAGAGAATCCACCCCGAGAAGCACCGCCCTGGCGCGCGGAGCCGCGTTTTTTTAGTCAACGCGCCCACAAAGAAGGCCTCGACCAGGGCAGGGCTGTCTAAGTACACGCCCAGGGCCGTTCAATAAGCGCCAGCTGCCCGGTCCGGGTGGCTGCTCCTCTCCCTTGATCTCGGGTTAAGTCGTGCGTGTCCCTCTACATGGGAATTTTCGACGAAAAATGAAACAAATAGTCAAAACATATCCCAAGATGGTCAAAACATGTTCAGGAAATCGTCCCCAGACTATTTTAAAACTATCTTTGAATATTCCTCCTGGCCCGACGTAACCCTTGATCTCGGGACAGCGCCCGCGGCGGAGCCGTCCCACCTCCGACCTGGGCGTCGTTTCCCATCTAAGTGGATTACCATTTTTTGCCCATATGTTTGGGGTTTCTCTCTTCCGCCCCACTGCCCATATTTCCCTATATCTTCTTGGGGATCGACGATGAATTGTGTCTGTGTGTTTTTTCTTCGGCGGGTCTACGATAAATTACATCAAAGCAGACATGCGATGTTCGGACGTTTGCGAGTAGGCACTCTGCGAGTAGTGGAACGCGCTCGGCGAGCTCAGTTAGCGCCAATTGTCCTGCCCGGGTGGCTTTTCCTCCCTTGATTTCGGGACGGCGCCCACGGCGGAGCCGTCACTGCTCCGCCACCGCTTCGACACTCTTTTGACACTATTCTCCGAGTGCTCGAGATTATTTCTGGGATGTGGTCCTTAAGTACGATGGGAACAACATGCAGTCGAAGCGCTGAAAAAGGAACCCTTTTCGTTGGGGAGAGGCTCGATGTCCCTTGATTGCTTCACAGTTTGCCTCAGGTGTTCCCGATGTTTCCCATGGAAGCCGAATCTTAACTTGTGGGAAGAAGGGGCCTCGATCCTAATTCTAGGTCGGGCCTGTCCCTCTACAGGAAGAAAATTCAAAAATAGTCAAAAGATAGCCCAGGGACGATTTTTTGACTATTTGTTTGATCATTCTGGGGTAGGTGTTGGGGTATTTGTTATGTTTCGTCGAAAATCCCCCTGTAGGGGGGCAGGCCCGACATAACCCTGATTCAGGGTTCCTTAGGTCCACGCCCCGACGGTACTCCTCGTCCTGGCCTCGCCTCTCCGGGCCCTGGCCGGGCCTCCAGGCCGCGCGCAGCCGTGGCGGCGAGAGAGAGCGACGAGGAGGACGAGGACGAGGCCGAGGACGAGGACGACGAGAAAGACGACGAGGAGGACGAGGAGGACGAGGACGACGAGGAGGACGAGGACGAGGACGAGGACGAGGACGAGGACGAGGACGAGGACGAGGACGACGAGGACGAGGAGGACGACGCGTCGATGGCTCTGGGGCCGCTTCGACGGACCTTCCCGCCGCCACGGCTGCGCGCGGCCTGGAGGCCTGGCCGGGCCGCGCCCCCGGAGAGGCGAGGCCAGGACGAGGAGTACCGTCGGGACGTGGACCTAAGGAGCCCTAGATTAGGGTTAAGTCGGGCCTGTCCCCCTACAGGGGGATTGTCGACGAAAAAATATATACCCCAACACATACTCCCAAATGATCAACAAACATTCAAGAAATAGTCCCCAGACTATTTTTTTGACTATTTTTGAACATTCCCCCTGTAGAGCGACAGGCCCGACTTAAAAGTAGGATCGAGGCCCCTTCTTCCCATAAGTTAAGATTCGGTTTCCGTGGGAAACCTCGGGAACACCTGAGGCAAACTGTGAAGCAATCAAGGGACACCGAGCCCCTCCCCAACGAAAAGGGCTCCTTTTTCATCGCTTCGACTGCATGTTGTTCCCATCGTACTTATGGACCACATCCCAGAAATAATCTTGAGCACCCGGAGAAGTGTCGAAAGAGTGTCGAAACAGCGTCGAAGCAGTGTCGGGCGAGTGTCTCCAAGGGCTCGACACGTGAAAGCCCTCGAGTTTTTGGGTCCCTTTTTGGTGCTCGAACTTCTTTCTGGTGATCAAGGCTAAAGTAGGTTGGAACATCCGAAGACGAGGACGAATTCGGGCGAGGGTGAACCGAGGATCTCTGAGATCCAGCGGCTCTGGAGGAGGCATCGGGCGCCGCGGCCTTCTCAGAGCGTGCCAGAACGCTCCAGAGAGCGTTCCAGAACACTCTGGAGCGGATTTGATCCGCGCCCTGGCCCCGTCCGAGGCGGTGTGCTCGACCACTCTGGTCGGTGCTGGCCGCGCGCATCGTCTCCGCTCGTGAATCCCCTCCCCCCCTCCCTTGCCAGCGCTGCTGCCCGGACTGTCTGGGCCCCCTCGCGTCCAGTCGACGCTGGCGGCGATCTTTCGGAGCTGCCCACAGATGTGATTCCCGTTCTTCTCCTCTGGGAGGGGGCCAGGCGAAGAGGAGCGCAAGGCATGAATGATGCAGCAAAGAGTGGAGAGCGTATGAGGAGAGTCCAAAAAGGATTCGCTGCCACCCCTCATCCATCTAATTAGCACAGAGTGGGGCGGGAGAAGGGAGATAACGAGATGGCCGCATGATAACGCCATAATGAGAGAGAGAGAGAGAGAAAAGAGAGAGAGGGAGAGAAAGAGAGAGAGAAGGAAACACGATACATATACGAGCACACACGTGTATACATATGTATACATATGTGTGAATGTGTAGATGTGTAGATGTGTCGATGTAGAATGAGCAATACACAGAAACACAGAGAGAGAGAGAGAGAGAGCGAAATAAAGAAAACAAGAGAGAGCGAGAGAGGCAGATAGAAAGAGGGAGATGGAAGTATATCGTCATCGGTGGTGGGGTAGCAAAGAGAGAGAGAGAGAGAGAGGGACAGAGAGAAGGAAAGAGAGATGGACAGAGACAGATGTATTCGGCATACTGTGTGCAGTGGCATGGACAGAGTTGGCATGACAGTGCTGGTAGGCAGAGGGCCTCCGGAAGAGCAGCGAGGAGCGGAGCGCGCAGACGGACGCGCAACCACCGCGAGGAGCCGAAGCAACCCGCGGAACTCTCGCGGTAAGGGCGAGAGCCCGCGCGTCGTCCCCCCGCGGCAGGCACAGCGCTCCTCTACGAGCCATCCTCTGCCTCCTCTGCCCCCCTCCGCCCTCCTCCCTCCTCCTCTCCTCCGCCCTTCTCCTCCTCCTCCTCCTCCTCCTCCTCCTCCTCCTCCTCCTCCTCCTCCCCCTCCCCCCCCCGCACGGATCCCCAACTGAAGGGGCGGGTGCTCTCCTTCCACTACCACACCTTATGCTCCGCCCCATCGCCCCCCCTCCCCCTCCCCGCGGATCCCCAACTGGAGGGGCGGGGTGGGCTCCTTCCACTCCCACACCTTCTCCAGGAACTTCTCTCGGCCTCGGTCGTCTGCCGCCGCTTGGGAGCAGGCCACGGGGCGGGGAGGAGGGTGTCGATGGAGTGGGGTGGAGAGGGACGATGGAGGATGGGATGGAGGGGAAGGAGGCCAGGGTGAAGGATGGATGGAGAGGGTGTCGAGGACGTGGACGAGGATCATGGCAAGAAGGACGAGAGCGGATGGAGAAGGAGACGAGAACGGAGGACGAATGAGAGGGGTGACGAGGATATGGAGGATACGGACGACGAGAAATGTGACGAGAAGAAGGAGTAGTTGCAGCTGCAGCAGCAGGGGCAAGGCTAAGGATCAGCGGCAGTAGCAGTAACAACTAGCAGCGCCAGCAGTGACCGCGCCCTTTGCAGCAGCAGCGCCAGCGGCACTGTGACAACACACTTGAATAATCAATGATCAAATGCAGCGTGGGCTACGGAACACCCAGGTGGCTAACTGGCAGACAATGTATGTGACGCAGCCGCGCCAAGGAAAACGACAGGCGCACGCCTTCTCCACGACAAGGCACGCAGCGTCACGCATGCGAGGCCCGAGGATGCGAGCCAACGAGAGCCAGGGCAGCAAGACGCAAGGCACCCGAGAACAATGCAAGCCACAGAGAGGCACCTCCCCCCTCCATGGCCGCATCCTCCCCTCGCCCCTCGGCCTCTTCCCCGCTCCGCTCCTCCCCCCCCCCCTTCCCCGTCTCCTGCCCGCAACGCCAGGCAAGGGAGCGAAACCCGATGCAAGGTGCTGCGAGGCAGCACGGCATCTCGAGCATGAGGGTGCAGGTCTGGGCAACGGCATGTGGCAGGGTGGGACAGGGCATCCAGTACTACTTGTACCCACGACTCAGCATGGCGCAGCTGGCACAGCCTGTCGAGAAGCCAGAGTGTGACGAAGACGAGACGTAGGAGGGTGATGATTGAGAAGAGGGCGTTGGCGGCGCGCACAAGTGGGTAGGGGGAGGGGGGAGGGCTCACTAGAAGGAGGCTGCTTCTCAGAAGAGGCGCCGGCCTTACATCTATGAGTAGAGAAGTCCCGCGCCTTCTAAGGAGAAGGGGTGCTTCTGAGAAGCCCTCCCCCCTCCTCCGACCCCCCTCTGCGCGTGGCCGAGGGCGAAGACATCGTCGTCCTCGGCGCGTCTAAGCCTGGAGCCGAGGTCATGCCGCGTGAGCTTCTGGTCCTCGGGGGATCAAACGGTCGACGCGCGGGGCCTGACTCTCTTTCCCCCCTCCCCTCCGCCTCGTCGTCGTCGTCGTCGTCGTCGTCGTCGTCGTCGTCGTCGTCGTCGTCGTCTCCTCCCTCCTCCCTCCTCCCTCCTCCCTCCTCCCTCCTGCATCGACCTTCCAGGGATGCGTGCCGACTCAAATTTCGAGAGGAACCGAGCCGTGGCGACGCACAGCTCTTCAGAGGCCCCAGGGAGTGCAGCGGGCGCCCAAGCGCCTCGACCCTCGACCCTCGAGAGGCCGGACGACGACGACGATCGCCCTTCCTTTACCTCCGGTCTTCCCTCCACCCCGTCCCGCACCTCCCTCGCTGCTGTATCCGCCCCCCCCCCTTCCATTCCCCATCCCTCTCTCGCCCCTTCCCGTTCTCTTTCCCTCCCTCCCCTCTCCAAGGATGCCACTGGCAGCTCAACCTGCAGAAAAAAAACGAACGGAGACCCCTGCGCTCGACTCCTGGGGTGCACAGGCGAGACAGGGACGAGGGACGAAGTGAGCTCGCTCGCCCAATTCATCGCCTTATCTGGCAAGGGGGCTGCCCCAGAAGCATCAACACCGACATCGGAAGCGCGATCGGACACTCGTGCCCGCCACTGGGCTTAGCTACGGCAAGCTCGTGTGGTGACGACTCCGGTATTGGTTCTCGACATCGTGTGGATCGTTCAACCATGAGAGACCGCTGTTTCCTGATAGCGCAGTTCTTGCGATACCGGCCGTTTCAGGGAAACTAGTCAACCTTAAACGCCCGCGCTGGGGTAGTCACCGCGTCGACACGACACAAACCTACAGCAGTGGTGTAATGTGCACCTCCTCCTCCTCCTTCTCCTCCTCGTCCTAGTCATCCTTTTTCCTTCCCTCCTTGTTCATCCTCTTGAACGTACCTCCTCATTATCTTGAGTATCCCCCTCATCCTCCTGTTCCCTCATGCCCCTCATTCTCATTCGTCTCTTCATTCATCATCATCATCTTCCACTTGAACCTCGTCCTTCTCGTTGTTCATCCTCTTTTTCATCCTGGAGCGAGAGCCGCGTCCGATTAACGTCAGGCGCGGCAGACGCTTGATCGGAGCGTTTAGCCGAGCTCCGGGCACCGGCGGGCCATGAATGCGGGGTCCCCTCTTCGGAATCGGAAAGATCCTTAACCGTCTCATCAGAATTTACTGGTTCGCGGCGAATGCCGCAATCCCGAGGACTCGCCGGACAAATCTGTTGGGCTTTCCTGCAGGATCCTGAACATTCCTGGCGTGATCTCTGGAACCCGAAACATTCCAAAACCGTTGCATGCATCATCGAGCGGATCTCCGACTGTAAATCTTCTATTCGCGCATTTTCCTGGAGAGTCCGAGGGTGTCGTCAGGAATTGCGGGTCCCCGCGGGAACCCTGGAGGCCCATGGGGCCAGTGTGAATGTCTTGAGGGTCCGAATGGTTCCCACCGCAATCTTAAGGATTTCTTTCAGCATCCAGAAGGGGCCCTATACAATCCCCCCACGTTCCCTGCGGAATGGCCAAGACGCCCTTGGGGTGTCCGGTGGAATCCCGAAGATTCCCTCGGCGCCCCCGCGGACTTCCCGACGAATCCTGCGGGATTTCATCCTGCGCCCTTCGCGGCGGAGCCCGCCCTCCAATGTCCTGAAGCGCCGCTGATCGCCCGGCGAGTTCCTCGCCGATGCAGACAAGCCTCCACGCGCGCCACTCCCGCATCCGCGCGCGCCCGCCCCCGCCGCGCGACGCCGCCCACGGTCGCGGAGCGGGGTCTGCGCCAGCCCGTCGCGGAGCGCGACCCCCGCCGATGCGACGCAACTTCGCCGCCCCTCCGCGAGGCCCCCGCCCGCGCGCGCAATGCGCAGTCACGCGGGGTGGCGCCGCCCGTCGCTGAGCGAGACCACCGCGTGCCAGCCGCGGAGCGGAACGCCCGTGGACGCGACGACGCACGACGCGCCCCCCCCCGCCTGCAGGGGGCCGCGCGGAGCACCGCAGACACTTGCGATGCGGATGTCTCACGGCAGAAGCCAGGCCACTTCGCGAACTATTCCTTCACCGGCCAACGATATGCACGTAGACTACAGTCGAGAGCTGACGCGTCAGAAGTGCCTCAGCGTCGCGCCACAGAGCGCGACCCCAAAAAGAGTAGTACGCAGCCCCCCCGAGGAGAGCTTTGCACGAGGCTGCGACACTCAAGAGCACGACACCCCCCGGCAGTCGTTCTGGCGACTCTTAGCCAGGCGCAAGTGAAAATAAGGAAAACACAAACGCAATTTGGATCGACTCCCTCAGCCCCCACGGTGGATTATTATTGAACGGTGAAATTATGTGCATGCTGAGCGCTGAGACGCTCAACGCGCTCACTGCGATCGTCGCCTCGCGGGCGCAGAACAGAGGGCGCGAGCAGACTATCCCTAATTCCTTCGGGGCCTGAGAGCAGGTCGGCCTCGCCGCCGCCCCACTCGATCGCGCTCGTGGCCCGCTTCCCAGCGGGCAAAGTCTGCGTGGGAAGCAGAGTGGCCGTTGGGTTCGCGGCCCAGAATCCTCGCCTGCGCCCGCAGACGCCGCGTCGAAAGCCGAGGGCCGGCGCGAATCCAGATGGGCGCGGGAAGCGCTGAGAACCGGGCGGGCCAACGTAGGCGATAGGCAGCCAACCGTGCAAGGGGGGCGTCAGCATGTCCCCGAATGCGATGCATACTTCTGGCGCCGTGCCGCATGAGCGCCGCGATAGACAGCGCTCACCCCTACTCACAAAAGAAGTGCAACCTGCCTCCACATGTCTCAACGGCGCAGCGCTCGGGACCGCAGGGGCCGCGCAACCGACGTCAACCATGGGTAGAATAGCGAGACGATGAAGAAGAACAAGAATCCGAATAATAAGAAGAAGTGCTTCGCGGGGTGCCTGACGGGGGCAGAGCAGCCGAAGGAGACGCGCGCTCGCTTGCGTCCACTCCGCGCGCCCTGCAGCCAGCAGCCAGCTGCCCGTGGCGCCAGCGGCGGCGCGCGCACTGGCCGCGCGCCCGCGAGCGTCGAGGGGCCGCGCATCCCGCGGGCGGGCGGCCGGCGCGCGGGGCCAAACAAGTTGCCGCCGTCATCGGGGGGGGGGCAATCACGGCTGTCAAATCAAAGGCTATAATGCGCAGAGTCGCGAATCTAAGCGCGTAGCGTGATTGAAGGCGTAACTGGCGCAGGTCGAAGGCGACTGCGATTAGGGCGCGAACGCGCAGGGCCCCCCCCCTTTTCGCCGCGGCGCGGCAAAGGCGATCCACTCGCGCGCGGAGCAACCCTTGGCACCTGCCACGCCCATCGGGGCCCGGATGGTAAATGGAAGTTGCTGCTTTATTCGTGGATCGTTGCCTTCTGCCCCGCTGCTTCATTCTCAAGTTAAATGCAGAATCGCCCATCTCTGTCTCGACTTGGCACTCTACGACCCCCTGCTTCTACGCTGAGGCGCGATGGCCCGAATGCCTTATAAACGCTGGCCACTTGGATGGGCGGGCTCACAATGGATCCCTCTTCTAACCCACAATAACTCCGTCAGCCGCGCCGTGGCGCTGACCGCCCCAGGAAACCTCCGTCATGTAACGGGGCAAAAGGGGCCCCGCATTCGCAAACCCAACCGCGTCGTGCGCTCCTGAGTACACGGTGCCAATCGTGGATTCCATGCCGCTCTCCCGGTCACTCACTGGTACCTCATTACCTTCCCTGTCGGGCACCGTCTGTCTCCGCCAGCTGCAGTTCGGCGCACTTGTCCAGCCAACTTCTCTCCTTCTTGATGCGCCCCGCGCTTCGAGTGTCAGAGATGGCGCTGCTGTAGCAGTTAACGCTGTTTTCGCGTGGTGCGTGCCTCCTCTTAATCCCCAACTTCGCCTCTCTGTTTCTCCGCATTGTTTCTTGGTGCTTCTTGCTCCACTCCTGCGCCCCTCTCGCTAGCTCAGGTGCCGCTGCGCCCTAATATCTGCGCGGGCTCTCCCGCGCCCCCTGCCCCCGTTTACCTTGGGCGACCTCGTTGAACTTCCTGTGGCAGCGCGCTGCAACGTGGCCCCTTTCGCCGCATTTGTAAGCCCCCTTTCACTGATCGCAGCGAATCCCCCCCTACCTCCTCCGTTCCATCCTGGGGCATGCTCCCCGCGGAAGCCTCCTGAGGGACCCCTGTCAGCAATCTCCTTTGACGCAGACCCCCGGCAACCCGTGGTGCCATGGTGCCCTCCTTTGTATCCTCCTACTTGCGCTCCCTGGTAACTCTCGGCACCCCTGTACTCCCCTTACCCAGCTCTCTTACTTTTGGTGGCTCCTTGGGTGGCGCAGTCGTTGGCATTGTGTCCATAGCCTCCGCACTTGTAGCACGTGGCACTTCACCCCTGCCGCTTTCCTGTGCAAGCTTCGTTCGTGTCGCCGCTTCCATCCATGTCTTCCCCATTCGAAGCCCACCAATTTCCACCTTCGTCGCAGTATCTTGACTCGTCCACAGTTTGCGCCCCACTCCCCAGAATCTGCATCGCTAACTTGGCCGATCTCCATGGACTTGTTGTTGTGTGTTTGCGTTGTCCGTAATAACTGCCTGGCCCAATCCGCGCAGTTGATGAATAATTGCTGGCAGGTGTCAATGTTTAACGATTCAGGCGTCTTGAAGAAATTCTGCTGTCAGTCGTCAAAACCAGCCTCGTGCGTGCATTATGATAATCCTCAACGCGGTAGGTACCCCTGAATGGTAATGGAAACGATAATGCGGACCCAGACTTCTCCAAGCCCTCCACGAACGCCCTCCGCTGCTCGAGTTGGGCCGCCACGTCGGTTACCTTCTTTGGGGTTCTCATGGTTCATGGCCGGGGCCATCTTAGATGTGAAAACTCAACTCCGGTAGCGGCCGGATGCCACTTGTAAAGTAAACCTTCTTCTGGTCTGCCATTAGGCCGTCGCCATCATGGAGACCCCTGCGTTTTCCGCGAGGCTCGGTACCCTCCAACTTGTCGTTCAACAACTACCAGAGTTCCTCGTCTAGCTTGGCGTAGTAGTCACCATCTGACTCATTTTCCCCTTTTGCGTCGTCTTGCTTCTTGGTGCGCAGCGCCTTGGTTGTTTCGCGCAGCATTAACCAGCCATTCGTGATTCTGATCAGGTCATCCCCGTCGTCGCCAGAGCATGGCCAATCCATGGTAGAATTCGATGTTCAAGCTCTTCAAATCATCTGGATAGCCATGCTTCACTTGGGCGAACGCATTCAACAGATTTCCTCTCCATTCGCTGAACTTGGTTTGGTCACTAGAAAACGTTTTTACCTGTTGAATGGCCTTCTATTCGCTAACGGGTTTGCTTCCACCTCCTGCAATTGTCGGGCTTCCGGCGGTCTGTATAGCTCAGGCGATATTGGTCCCGTGCTCTGAAGAGTTCGCTTGACGTTGGAGATATATCCTGATGTATTCTCTCAAGTTGTTGAACGGTCCCTCGCAATACATGTTGCCGCGGATGACAGGTATCAGACAAAAAAAGCTGTCGTCATGCAGCTCATCTGCAACATCGTGCATGCCTCCTGGTACCCAGCGTGGCGCTGCGCTTGAGGAGCAAGTCTCATCCCTTCGTGATTGGCGTTGCAGGCGGTCGTAACATACCTGAATTACCCGTTATCATCACTGGCGTTGCGCAACTCCGCGAGCTCAGGTTGTATCAGGCTTCTCGAGAATCACGCAACGTCACGTTGTAACCCGGGCCGTGGTTTCCGCCAACGGCCGCCGCTGCCATTTCTGCTCTGAAACCCGCGGGGCGAAGCGCAGGCCCCGCTACCATGGACACTTGGCAGGAGCTTGTCCACGAAAACGCAAGATGGCACTTGAACCACATGCAAAATCGTATCGGACAAACATGCAAACCGGTTCGTCATGTATCAAGCACCAAAACATCCCCGCACAGCCGCACGGCCATATTCTAACACCTCGTCCTCCTCCTCCTGCTCCTCCTCCTTTTCCTCCTGCTCGTTTCCGCGTCCTCCTCCTCCTCCTCTTTTTCCTCCTCCTCCTCCTCCTCCTCCTCCTCGGTCTCTCCTCCTCTCCGGCCGCCTGCTCTGACTTTCCTGCGACGCCCAGCCGCAGTCCGCTCAGCAGTCAGCCACCCTCCGGAAAGCCTCGGCGCGGGGTGCCGTCACCGGTCAGGGTCCGGCCTGGCACAGGTTTGCACGGGGCCGCGATGGCGGATGACAAGGGGTCCTCCCCCCCTCCTTCGCGAAGAGGGGGGGGGACAGCCCTGCGCTCGCTCGGCCGCTCCGCGCCGACGAGCCGCAGCAGTAGGCGGTCCAGCAGCGCCGCCGCTGGGGGTCCCACGGCTGCCACCACCGCAGCGGCCTCCTCAGAGCCGCCAGCACCGCCGCCTTGGTGCGGGCGTCGCGCACGGCTGTGAACCCCTCCTCTCGGGTCGGCACAAGTGGGTTGGCACAGAGGGGGGGGCAGCGATTCGTGGGCCCTGGAAACGACAGGGCCGTTTTTTTTACCGCTTCCGTCTTGCCGTTTTTGTTGCCGGCTCCCACACCGTCTTTTGACCGGTTCCGTCGCCGCTCTTTCACGGGCTCCCGCCCCGGCTCCAATCCTGGAGCCGTTTTTTTGTTGCTGGGGCCCACGAAGGGGTAGCGATTCAGCTCACGTGGCTGGTCTCTTCTGCGCCTCCTTGCGCCGGAGGCGCCAAGGTATCGAGGAGACAGCGCCTGGCGGCGAGACCGAGACCAGCTGCATGCGGCTGACTTCGTGGCCGCCCCCGTTCCCGCCCGACCCGATCCTCCAGAAGCACGCCATGGGCGCTTCGGACCTCGGCCGGGCTGTCGCCGAAGAGCAGGACGGGCCGGTGGCAGTTCTGCCCTTCCCAGCCCCAGGCCCGCATCCTGAAGGAGGGCGCTGACTCGCGATCCTGGCCAGGCCATGATCAGTGCAAATTTTCACTCGCCCTCCCCAAATCTCCGACGCCGTCAATGTCTCGACACATGCACCCCCAAAGGTCACCCGGGTGTTACTTAACGGGGGGGCAATAAACGTGGGGTGAAGAAGCGTTCGCCTTTCGTGCACCTTTTGGCCCCGCGGTGGCAGGTCAGGTCTCAGGGGCCGCTTCGTAGGGGCCGTCCTTTAGGACCATGCACTTCCCTGCAATCTTCGATCCCCCTACGTTTATTGCCCCCCCGTTGCCGCCGGCCCGAGTCTAGGCCACCTCCCCCCTGGTCCACTTTTGTGCATCTCCCGAGCCGTTTTTTGACGGCCCGCGGTGAAGGTCTCAAGCGGCCAACAACGCCAAAAGGCCTCCCGCCCTGTCGGAGAAGGCCCACTCGAGACAACGGCGGCTCTCCCCCGTCCACGCCCAGATCCGCTCGAAAGCCGGCCCCGCACCCCCCCTGGAGTCCATCCTGACACATCTGTCGAAACGGATCCAGCCGTGCAGACGACGAGAATTGAGGGATGAAAAAACGACCCTACCCTGGGTTACAAGTGCGTGGTCTGTAAACCTCCTGGGAACCCCCGAAGCCTGGAGCCGCCAGGACGCGGCACATCACGCAGGGTTTACCCTGTCAGCCCACAGGAGCTTCAGAGCACAGCGCCTCGTAAACCAGGGCAGGGGCGTTGTTCTGCCCCTGAAGAGAAGCCTCCCCGAGGCCCGAGAGAAGAGAAGACAACAACCAGGGGAGGCTGCCGCTGTCTCGGCCCGGCCCTCCTCCGCTCGCGAGGCTCCCGCACGGCACGAGGGGGGAGGCCCGGGCGAGCCCGCTCCTGCCCCGCAGCTCGGGCAGCGGCACGTGCACCTTCCGGGGGCGCGCGCAACACATGGATTAGCGATCCACACACTTGGCGCGCGGCCGCCAAATCCATGGATCGGGGGAGGGGCCCTCCCCGAAATGCGGCCGGTGCCGCCGCGCTCGGCGGCGGGAGTCCTGCATGTGTGGGCCATGGGCACGGCGGCCCATCGTCGGTACTCCACCGTTTGCACCTCTGCGCAGCTCGCGACGCGGAGGGTGCAGCTGCACGCCGCACTGCTGGGAGTCTCTGCGCCAGGCGGAGGACCAGTCGCTAATCCACGCCCCCTTCTTATCCATGCTTGCGATCGCCCGCACCTTGCGGCGCCCGCGGCGGCACGTGTGCAGCGTCGCGGCGCCCGTGGCCGTGCAGACCTCCAGCGAGGCCATCCGCGGGTGCCGCGCCAGCGCCCGCAGCTCCTCCGGGCACGGCGCCGGCGCGACCAGCGCCGCGCCGGCGGGCTGCGCGGCGGCCGCCCCCGCGGCAGCCGCCCGCGCGGCGGGCGCGCTGCCCGCGGCGCCGCCGAGGCCGGGCCCGCCGCCGCCGCCCGCCGCGCCGCGCGCGGCGCGGCGGGGGGCGCTGGGCGGCCGCGGCGGCCTACCCCGCAGCAGGAGGGCGGCGCGGGAGGCGCGGAGGGCGCCGGCGCGGGGCAGCATGGCGCGCGGGGGCCTCGGGGTGCCCTCCAGGACGGCCGCGCCCCCCCCCGAGCGTCCAGGGATGGGCCGCCAGAGGCCCCGAGGTGCGACCCGAGAGCACGCCAGCGCAGGCAGACCTCTGCGCTCTGCGGGGAGAGCACTCGGGTAGGGGATCGACTACAGAATTGAGTTACCCCAAACTTGCATTTTACGCCGAAGCTAAGAAAGGCGCGCAGAATGTTCAGTAGATCTACTGTGTCCTTTTCGCAGATTCGACGGGCAGCCAATTTTGGGGTAAATCGATTCTGTAGTCGATCCCCTACTCGAAGCACGACGGCGGAATGTTTCGCAATTTTCGGTCTCCCAGGGCCGTCGCCGGGCCACAGGGACTGTCAAAACACGGCTCGAGGTGAGCTCCCGGTCCCGGGGTCCGGCGCTCTCGGGATGCTGCGAGGCATCACGACGTCGGAGATCTCTCTCTCTCTCTCTCTCTCTCTCTAGAAGAGAGAGAGAGAGAGAGAGAGAGAGAGAGAGAGGGGGCAGCACGGAGAGAGTTTGGGGCGAGAGGGGAGACATGAGAGAGGGGGATGGGGATGGAGGAGGACATCTTGAGCATGACACAGTGACGTCGCCAAGCCCGCTGAATGGCGGGGTGACCGCCCCGTGACGGGCACCACCGCCCCACCAACACCGCCCTGCGGCCTGCGGGCCGCCACCACCGCGGCACCAGGCCACGGGGAGCAGGGGAGGGGTAGAAGACAGGGATGGGAGGAGACGAAGGAGGAGGAGGCGGCCAAGACGAGCTCACTTCCCCGACATGTCCGTATCCACCGTGCCAACCAGGCCGTCACGAAGGCCGAGAAGAAGATCTCCGATGTGAGTGCGGCCAAGCTCTCCCTGGAGACTCGAATGGAAGGCCTCAGGAAGCAGGTGAAGGCCAAGGAGGAGGAGGAGCGGGCCAGGCGGCCGAGGCAGGAGTGGCGGAGGCAGGAGTGGCAGCAGGCTGACGCAGCAGCTTAAGGAGAAGGGAAGGGCTGTCAGTGAGGCCTAGCCCGATCTCCGAGCCAAACACGACGTCGCCATGGGTGGCTTCGGCGGGCCCGTCCTCGCCACCCTGTGCTCTGCCGTCAACGAGCACCCCCCCCAAGGACCCCGTGAAGAGGCAGGGAAATGAGCCTGAGGACGGCGAGAAGGTGGAAGAGGACGAATTTTCGTGCTGAGTTTCCTCAGCTAGACGCCGCCCAGCACAAGCGCACGGTCGAAATGTTGCTGGGGGGAATGGCCCAAAACAGGCTTAGGAGACCCGTGGGTGTGAAGTCAGCCCCAGGAAACGTTGGAGATGCGGGAAGAGCTCGAGGACGCTTTCAGCCCCCAGTCTCAGCCTCAGCAGCATCAACAGAAACAGCAACCTCAGCACTCCCAGCAGCCCCAATCAGTGGAGCAGCGGCAGCAGCGGAAACACAAAGGCGTGGCAAGACGCTCAACCAACTGAGGCCGACATACTATGCATTCAGCAGCATCAGTCGTCTGTCGCAGCCTTGGGAGAGAAGCAGACTGAGCTGATTGAACTTGGCTGGATGAGTTGTTGGACGCCATGCCCGTATGGGGCAGTCTGGATGGGTCTTCTGGTGATCTTAGTAAGGAGGTGTATTGACGCATGGGAGTCGCCTGCTGTCGGTATATCGATTATTCCTCATAGAGTGGCCACTGTGTCGTTTGAGCAGAACCGTTGGGTGAGATTTCCTTTATTTTATGCATCTTGCCGATTCGATCGGCGTGGCTGGCGTGCATGCACGGATTTTGGAGAAGTGGGGCAATCATGCATTGAGCACGGGGGGTCCGGTCCTGGCAGCTGGTGACTGGAATGTGGTTCCAGGCATGCTCAGAGCTGGGATTTCCTTGCGGCTTCTGATTGCTCGTCTTAGGCATGATCTTCAGACGGGCTCACACCACATTCGGGAGGATGGGTCTGGCAATGATCTAGATTCTTGGACGGTGCCCAGGCAGACCGATCATGTTTGTGTCACGCCATTGGTGGACGAGGGCAATGCGATGTTGCCGCCAACTGCCAGAAACTCCTGAGCCGTGTCCGAATCATAACAAATCTGCTCAAGCCATGAATTTTGCGTCACACACCAGACCTCAGAAAGCAAATCTCCGAGCAACTGATACCTCGAAACAATTCAAGACCGCGTCTAAACAAGTGCGTAGCCATGGGTTGGCCGTGTGTCGTATTTGACCAGAACCTGTCAGAGACGTGTTTTCGTGTCGCATATGTCCACGAAACACGACAATCGTCTGCGCATGGACCGCGGGGCGTCGCGCCGCGCCTTGCAGCCGCCTGACCCACCTGACAGCAAGGTCCCCAGTGCCCGGCGAAATCTCCCATACCCGAAAAACCTCCCCGCTGCTCTTCGAGACCGCATGGGAGCCCGACAAATCCTTTGCCGGGCCCTTCATGAGTACGCGGAGATACCGAACAACGACGCTGTCCCGCCTAGCGCGTTCGCTCCTGCAGAATGCAAAAGCCTCAAGGCCAGTGGGGCCCTTTCTCCATCGCTGTGCTCAAACGCGGTTCACGTTGAAGCCGTCGTAGACCCCGTTCGCCCCAAAACAAACCGAGAATGCTCCATCCTGCCCGCGCGCATTTCACGCGTCGTTCGATGCCCACCCCGTAGTTCCCATTCGTGAGATCTCGTGCTCCATGGTGGCGCGCGTGCTTTGACCTCCCCGTGCAATTGCGGGCAATCCCCCTGCAGTTGTCGCTTTGCCATGGCCGACCCGAGACGCGGCACGATGTCTATTTGCCATATTATGCAAAAAGTTCAGCTAAGAGAAGATCTCGTTCATCGCAAGGCCGCCCTCGGCAATTTTCGGTCGCCCGATTCGCGGTCGGCGCAGGACGGGGGAAGTCATTCGCGGAAGATTTCATCAGAGAACCTCGAGAGCGCACAGTCAAGCGTGTCTCTACTTAGTACTCCACGCTGCGCGGGTATAGGTGTACGAGCGTCATGCGAACGCATTTGTCTGCCGCATCGTCGCATCGTGAAGCGCGCCCAATGAACTGTGTCGACATCTCACAGGATCCCTGGACACCCCCATGTTTAGTCCGGGCGCAGTGTCGGCCCGCCCCAACTTCAATGCTGACCGCCCCATTCTTCGGCCTCTGATCGGCAAAGGCCTGCGCTTCAGGTCGCGCAACGCGCTCGCTGAGTATAGAAAGAAACGCCGCGCTGGAAGCGTGGCCGACCATCTGCTGTACAAGCAGGGCGCCCTCCCGTCGCCTGTGCCCTAGAAGACCGCGCCACTGGCAAGGGGAACTCGAATCGTGCGCCTTAAAAGAGTCTCCCAAGCGCACGGTGCAGACTGCTGAAACATCCAGAACGTGTCCAGGAGGTGAATCACCCAAGCGCTTGTCACTTCTCCTGACCACCACATTTGTCTAGAACAGACCATTTCCGCGGCGTTCCCTTTTGCGGGCGCTGGTCCAACCGGTCGAGGATGGAGGATTATCTCAATGAACCCACGCCGTGCGCGAAGCAGAGATGAGGCACAATGAAAACGATTGACACGACCATCAGGAGCTCACCCACCTCCTCCGTCTTCTCCTCCGTCCTGAGATCCTCCGCCTAGAGCTCCCAGATCAGCAGTCTCAAGAAAATCAAAGCCGATGCCAAAGCGCCGCAAACGATCGCGAGAAAGATGGCCGCGGCTCAAAAGCATCAACCTCATCTCAACAGAGACGCCCCAGCTGACCGTGGCTCTCCGCTGTTTTTGCTTGCCTAAACTTCGAGAGAGGACGATCGGTCGAGGCATCCGCAACGATCTCCACCTTAATCGTATATGCGAGTTTGCCCTCAGCTGTGTCTGGTCATCGGCTAGACGCGCAGCCTCCATGCCACCCTCAGCACCTGTGGCACGGAGAGGCTAATGCAGTTCATCAAAAGCAGGAATGGAGACAGCGAGATGGATATACTCTTGATTTTTACACCAATCGAACGACCTGCACGTGCCCTGGCCAATCGGTGCACACCTGCTACGTGTCCTACGTGTCGTGCTTCCCGGAACTCCTCCATCCTCCCCTCCTGTTTCCGTGTACACGTGCGGCGAAATACGGGACGTAACATAAAGCTGTGACCTTTGATGCGCTGACAGTGTTCCAGGTCTGTGACATCAGAGCGCGACGTACGCCCTGAATTCTCCAACAGAACGTGTGCCGCCAATCGCTGGTGCGTTCGCTCGCGAACGAGTCGAACGCGTTCCTGTCATAAAGCTCTGAAGCAAAAAAAACATGTGCACGTTTCGGGGTGAGCGTGAAGTGTGTACGCGCGCTCCTCTGAAACATTTGTATACATTTATCATTGTGCCGATATGTGCGCCCATCGTCGCAAAACGTATCGAATGTGTCAGCCGAGTTCTCGAAGGGCCTGCTCCAGCTCAAGATGGAACTCAATGCGAGTGACGCCCGTCTGGGGGGCGCTCGAGATCTCAGATTCTCCAAAAGCAAAATGTCAGGGTCAGGAAAATGGGGCGGGAGGCTATACAACAGCTCAAGCAGCACTGGCGTGTAATCCCTTGGGCGAGAGCAGGGTATGAGCTATAGCTCTCGACAACTCCGCCAATTCATTTGGCGCCGCCGAGTGCCAGGACAAAGTTTCCGAGGTATGACGAGCATATAAATTGTACTATTGTCCCGCTGGGGCCCATAAAGGTCGCACCTGCCCAAAACAAGTAATTAAAACAAGTGCCATCATATCCAGATCTAGGAGAATACTTGCTGGTCGTTCACCTGCGACCCCCTCTTTCCCCATATGGTCAGCGCCGATGCGCTCCTCCTCATCCCCGTCCGTCCTCAGCCCGGGTCCAGAGTCGAAGCCAAGACCGATAAGAGAAGTGCTACGACAGGCCACCTGCTCCACCTGCGTCCGCCAGTGATCCATCGAGGACTTGGCAGCCTTCAGTTGGGCCTGCCGCTTCTACCTGACTCGTAAGCCGGCGGGGGGTCGGCCACGAGGAGGGTGAGGCCGAGTTAGGCCCTTTGCTCTCCGAACTGTTGTTGGATGCTTGCGGGTTCACGATATACGTGTTTACGTATGACGGATGCGAGCGACACCCCAAAGCAATACAGCAGCCCGCACTGGAATTCGCATGTGGACCTCGAGCCTAACCAACATGAATTGAATCTCGACGGCCACGTAAGCGCTCGATGTGATAAGACCGGCCACCCCATTCTCGAACCTGGGTCCCCCGCGTAAAGATAACGTCGACGTTTGGCCGAGCAGCGACTTCTTCAACTCGAGGCGCAGACACCAGACTGAGAGGGATACGCGTGATGGGCTTCAAGGGCGGCGACGACATCTACACGCGTCAGATCCAAAGGCCGCAGGATGCAGTACGACTTGCCCCCCCCCACAACGTCACTGCCCGTGCCAACGACTAGGCCCAGCCATGAGAAGAGGCACGACGCTGATCCGTGGGAAACTTACTTACGCCGCTGGAAATTCCTTGGGAACCCATACGGCGGCTAGAAGGCGGAGGAGGAGGAGGAAGAGGAGGAGGAGGAAGAGGAGAAGGAGGAGGAGGAGGAGGAGGTCGAGCGTGCCCAAGGAGGAGGGGGAGGAGCTGGAGGAAAAACGTGAGGCAGAGGAGACTGGCGAGCAACAAACGGAGGGCGCAACGCGCGGCGGCGGCGTTATAGTCAGAGGGCGGGCTTGGACCGGCTGCAGATCTCCACGACTACTTGCGTATCCTGGCCTACTTTTCCGTCTCTCTTGCGCTCCTCCTGCTGGGCCAACTGTTCCTCCTGCTCCTCCTGGTATTCCTGCTCTTCCTGCTCCTCTTGTGCCTCCCGTCTCCACTGATCCTCCTCCCCCTCCTCCCCCTCCTCCTCGTCTCCTTCTGCTCCTTCCTCGTGGCGCGACTTGCCTTCCTGGCCAGCGCCCTGCCTAGCGAGCGAAACCATATTTACAGGCAACAGGCCCCAGCCGCCAACTCACAATTTCGCGTTGTGTTGGCCTGATTTTGCGTCCCATGCCCAAGGAGGAGCATGTCCAATTGACTCCAAATAGCGATGATGTAAGATGAGGATGCAAGACCTGTGGACGTTCACGTTTGAGAAATTCCAGCGGCAGCAGACCAATCAAGACACTACCGAAGAGGCAGTGGTGCAATGGCAGCCTCGATCAAATTCTGCATCCTCTCAACCAGCCTGGGGCGACCCAAATTAGGGGTGCTGTTCTGCAGACGGCGTGGGTATGCAACGCCATGAAACTGTATGAGCTAAAGTGGCCTCGACTTCTCATCACCCTGAGGAAACGCACGCCTTGCACAGCATAGCAGTTGGGAGCATAGCACCACCTAGCATGTCATGGTGTGGCAGCGTGGAATACCATTGAATGACATGACATGGCCTGGTCCCATGGCACGGGCACTGAGCTGAACGTCCCCAGGTCTGTTCGAGCTCGTATCCCAAATCGTGCTTGTTAAAAGGCCCCCGACCACTGCTCTCTGGACTTTTTGGGCGCGGCCGCGCTGGGCCTCGCGAGCGCGGTTCGGGGTCCACTCCCTCCACGTGCCCTGATCGGGCGTTGGCAGAACTGGGTTTAGTGGGACCTGGTTTAGTGATGTGTACTGGGGGACGCCCCCCGGCCCCGCCGCCCGTTCCACCAACCGGAACTGCCGTCACCCGAAAAAAAACACCAACAACGGCAGACCTGGTTTTGGTGATCCTGGCAAAATTGGAGGCTCCAGGGCCCTACTCCTAACCCGGCCCCCTTACCTGGGCTTCTGGTTACACCCGACATTGGATGGCATGGCATGGTCCAGCAGGGCACGTCATCGGCCACCACGCCACGGGCACCCAGTAGAACGTCCCCAGGTCTCTTCGAGCTCGTATCCCAAATCGTGCTCAGAAGGCCCCCGACCACTGCTTTCTGGACTGCCCAAGGGTCGAGTAGGGGATCGACTACAGAATTGACTTGCCCCAGAAATTGATCTGGTCGCCGAAACCACGAACATGCTCAGAACAGCCCGCACATCTGCCAACATTCCACGTGCTTGTCTCGCAACCTCGGCGCGAAAACCAGTTTGGGGGTGCATCAGTTCTGTGGTCGGCCCCCTGCCCGAAAGGGGCAATCCTGGCGGCAACCTTGGGGGCCGCGAGGGCCGCCCGGGAGGCCCGGGGGTGCTGGCACGCGCAGCCGACATGCTGTCCCGCACGCGCCTTCTGCCTGATGTCTGCGCCCGCTCGCACGCTCCTGTCCCCGGCTGCACGCAAGAGTGACCTTTGCTGCGCGGCCTCCTGGGGGCCGCGGAGGGACCAAGCTGGGGCCAAACACAAGCGCGCAACGACGCCACTGTCGCGTCGCGTTCGGCGATTGGGGGGCCCGGATGGGCCCGCACTGGAGGTCACTCTGGCGAAGGGTCACCCTTACGTGTAGTCGATGTCTTCGTAGCGTCCACGACCATCCAAGAATTCCCCAAGAGTCCCCTCCCCCCAGGCCAGGCCCCCACGGCAGGCCCAAGAGGCTCTCAAGAGGCCCCAAGTGGGGGTCCGAGCGGGGAGCTCGCACATCGTTGTTTTTCGTCCCTCCGCCTCAAGACGGCCCACGTGACCGCCTCAAGGCCCCCAAGAGGCCCCCAAGAGGCTGCCAAGAGGCCCCAAGGAGGCACCACGGACGCCTCCAGATGGCCCCAAGAGGCACCAACGAGGAGTGCAGGCCCCGAGAAGCCTCCCAAGGGACCCCACGCACGAGGCCTTCAAACAGGCCTCGGCCCCACGACCCGAGCATTGCGGCGGGCGGGGCTGGTCGAATGCCACTGGATCCGCCGGCCCGGCGCTTGTTGACTGAATGGGCCCTGGGACACACAAAAAATACTACAAATAAAAGGATTCCCTATATTTTCTGATATTTTCGGGGTTTCTGTCTCCCCCCCCACTTCCCATATTTTCCTAAATCTCCGGGGAATCGACGATTAATCGTGTCTGTGTGTTTTTTTCTCTCCTGAACCTGCTGTATCCACTTTGGCCCTCCCGCGAGGTTCTCGTTGGGGTCTCGGCGCATCCCGCCGGCCAAATGAACAACCCCGGGCAGGTCCCGCACTCCATCGGCTTTCCTCAGAAGACTGTCCCAAGGAGGGCCTCCAAGACGGTCAAGATCAGGCGGCCGGGATGGCTCCAAGAGGGTTCAAGGGCCCAAGTTTGCTCAAATCGGCCCAACGTGCTGCCAAGGCGCTCCAAGATTACTCCAAGCTGGCCCCAAGAGGCCCCCAAAAATGTCAAAATCACCGATGCTTCTCAATTTTTGAATCCTGTTTTCCTGTTTTTGCCTTTTCGGGTCTCTGACAACCCAAGAAGGCTCCACAGCCACCCAAATCAGCTTCGAGACTGCCGAGAAGCCCCCAAGAGGGCCCCAAAACGGCGGAAGAGGGCCCTGACACGGCCCAAGAAGCCCCCGAGACGGCCCCCAGCCCCTAAAAAGACCCAGTGGAAGGAGGCGGAGGAGCAGAAACAAGGCGCTGAACAAACGAAGGATGGTAAGACCAGCAGAGGTAGGGAACCTAACTCTATGCATCGATGCTTTTTGCGGCACTGCACTGAAGTTTGCACAGCAAAGCGGATCCTTGTGTACACGGGATCCCGGTAATACGTTTCCCGTTGTCTCCCCAGGAAAACAGGGAAACAAGTATACACCAAACCACCCCGACGTCGTCCCCGCCGACCCTCAAAAAGTCCAAGGGTTGAAAAACAGCCCGCCACTGGTAATGTATATGCGCCAGCTTCCGAAGAGAAGGAGGATGAGAAGGAGCATGGCAGGTTCTCGTGCAAAAGTGAGGGCGTTGTTCCCCAATCAGAGCTTGCCTCTGTAGGGGTCCTAGCGGATTTATATGGTTAAGTTAGCGTGGTCGCCGATTTTCGCTGCACGCCCGGGTGCCGGGGTGCCCGGGGGTGCCCGGGGGTGTTGGCCGCTGATTTTCGCTGCGCGCCCGGGTGCCCGGGGGGTGCCCGGGGGTGCCCTGGGGGTGCCCTGGGGGTGCCCGGGTGCCCGGGTGCCCGGGTGCCCAGGCGTGCCCGGGCGTGCCCGGGGCTTCCCCTATAGCCCTATAGCCAAATAGACCAATTGCCCAATAGCCCTATAGCCCTACAGCTCTATAGCCCTATAGCAAAATAGCCCTATAGCCCTGATTGGGTTTTTTTCTCCGGTACCATGTATTACGATAGCTTTAGGTCGGGCCTGTCCCCCTACAGGAGGGGGATTTTGGCTGAATTACCCTGTGACGTTAACCCTCTCTATACATGTGGCGATTATACTCAGGACCACTCAATGCTGACTGGCATTCTGAAGGACCCGCAGCGCGCAAGAAGAGCACCCAACAGTGCTTCCAGAAGAGCGCAGCAAGAAGAGGAACGGAAACTGTACAAAATGGAAGCACAGGGGTGTTGAAAGAAACGCGTATGACGCACCTCCGAATGATCCACGTGGGACGTACCTCCGCTGGGCCTCCCAGGAGCCCACGAAAGTGGCGACAGTTGCGCAGATCGCAAGCCCCCCAGGGGGCGGCGAGGTCCCGAGGTGATTCGCGTGTGGCCCACCTCCGCTGGGCCTCCCAGGAACCCACGAAAATGGCGACAGTTGCGCAGATCGCAAGCCCCTCAAGGAGCGGCGAGGTCCCGAGGTGATCCGCATGGGACCCACCTCCGCTGGGCCTCCCAGGAGCCCACGATAGTGGCAACAATTGCACAGATCGCAAGCCCCCCTGGGGGCGGCGAGGTCCCGAGGTGATCCGCGTGAGACCCACCTCCGCTGGGTCTCCCAGGAGCCTACGAAAGTGGCGACAGTTGCGCAGATCGCAAGCCCCCCAGGGGGCGGCGAGGTCCCGAGGTGATCTGCGTGGGACGTACCTCCGCTGTGTCTCCCAGGAGCCTGCGAAAGTGGCGACAGTTGCGCAGATCGCAAGCCCCCCAGGGGGCGGCGAGGTCCCGAGGTGGTCCGCGTGGGACGTACCTCCGCTGGGCCTCCCAGGAGCCCACGAAAGCAGATCGCAAGCCCCCCAGGGGGCGGCGAGGTCTCGAGGCGGTCCGCGTGGGACGTGCCTCGGCTGGGCCTCCCAGGAGCCCACGAAAGTGGCGACAGTTGCGCAGATCGCAAGCCCCCAAGGGGGCGGCGAGGTCCCGAGGTGGTCCGCGTGGGACGTACCTCCGCTGGGCCTCCCAGGAACGAAAGTGGCGACAGTTGCGCAGATCGCAAGCCCCCCAAGGGGCGGCCCCGAGGTGATCCGCGTGGGACGTGCCTCCGCTGGGCCTCCCAGGAGCCCACGAAAGTGGCGACAGCTGCCCAGATCGCAAACCCCCCAGGGGGCGGCGATGTCCCGAGGTGGTCCGCGTGGGACGTACCTCCGCTGGGCCTCCCAGGAGCCCACGATAGTGGCAACAATTGCACAGATCGCAAGCCCCCCAGGGGGCGGCGAGGTCCCGAGGTGGTCCACGTGGGACGTGCCTCGGCTGGGCCTCCCAGGAGCCCACGAAAGTGGCGACAGTTGCGCAGATCGCAAGCCCCCCATGGGGGCGGCGAAGTCCCGAGGTGGTCCACGTGGGACGTGCCTCGGCTGGGCCTCCCAGGAGCCCACGAAAGTGGCGACAGTTGCGCAGATCGCAAGCCCCCATGGGGGCGGCGAAGTCCCGAGGTGGTCCACGTGGGACGTACCTCCGCTGGGCCTCCCAGGAGCCCACGAAAGTGGCGACAGTTGCGCAGATCGCAAGCCCCCCAGGGGGCGGCGAGGTCCCGAGGTGGTCCGCGTGGGACGTACCTCCGCTGGGCCTCCCAGGAGCACACGAAAGTGGCGACAGTTGCGCAGATCGCAAGTCCCCCATGGGGGCGGCGAAGTCCCGAGGTGGTCCGCGTGGGACGTACCTCCGCTGGGCCTCCCAGGAGCCCACCAAAGTGGCGACAGTTGCGCAGATCGCAAGCCCCCCACGGAGCGGCGAGGTCCCGAGGTGGTCCGCGTGGGACGTACCTCTGCTGGACCTCCCAGGAGCCCACGACAGTGGCGACAGTTGCGCAGATCGCAAGCCCCCCAAGGAGCGGCGAGGTCCCGAGGTGATCCGCGTGGGACCCACCTCCGCTGGGCCTCCCAGGAGCCCACGATAGTGGCGACAGTTGCGCAGATCGCAAGCCCCCAGGGGGCGGCGAGGTCCCGAGGTGGTCCGCGTGGGACGTACCTCCGCTGGGCCTCCCAGGAGCCCACGAAAGTGGCGACAGTTGCGCAGATCGCAGCCCGACGGCACGAGAGAAGAGGAGAGGGGAACACAGGAAACAGGAGAGGAGGGGAGGAGGGGGGAGGAGGAGGAGGTCGGGGCGACCACACTGCTCTATTCAAAACGAGTACCCAACCATAGGAGGGTTTGGAAACAATGTGAATAGTGACTTTATGTTTTCTTGATTTTTATACCCCAAAACAATAAAAGATAATCGAACAATCGTCCCCAGGCTATGTTTTGACTATGTTCGAATACTCCTCCTGCAGAGGGACAGGCCCGACGCAACGACAGCCTGTGGCCGCGCGTCCTTGTAGAGCTTGCGCTCCACGACGCTCTGCGTGGCGATCCCGGCGTGGTCGGTGCCCGGCACCCACAGCGCGCTGTTGCCGCACATCCGATGCCTGGGCGCCCCCCATTTGGACGCCCGAAATGGGCACGGAAAGAATGGGTACCATGCCCAACAACAAATGTTGTCCCAAACTAACAGCGGCCGCTGTTGGGCAGGCGGCCTTCTGTCTCGAATGGGCACAGGCCGCGGCGGCGTGGACAGCGAGTCCTGTTCAAAATGAACAGGAACTGCTGTTCGGCATTGTACCCATTCTTTAGGTGCCCATTTCGTTCGTGCAGACCCCAGCCCTCGAGTCGGCGCGCAGACCTGGATCAGCGATCCCCCGTCTCTCGAGGGAACGGGCACTGACAAAAATCACGACGGGACGTTTTTGTTGCTAGTTTTGGCCTCTGGGGGCCCTTCCGGGGCCTCGGGGCCGTCAAAAAACGGCCCAGGATGAAAAAACGATTCTGGGGAATGGGTCGAGAACTCTGGGGGTCCCTCGAGGGCGCGCAGACATGGATCAGCGATCCTCCTCCTCCTCCTCCTCCCCCTGCTCCTCCTCCTCCTCCTCCTCCTCCTCCTCCTCCTCCTCCCTTCCTCCCTCCCTCCCTCCCTCCCTCCCTCCTCCTTCTCCCTCCTCCTCCTCCACCTCCTCCTCCTCCGCCTCCTCCTCCTACTTCCTCGTCCCTCCTCCTCCTCCTCCTCCTCCTCCTCCTCCTCCTCCTCCTCCTACTCCTCCTCCTACTCCTCCTACTCATCCTTCTCCGCCTCTTCCTCCTCCTCATCCTCCCCCGTGGCAAAGCGCGACCCCATGGTCCCTCGAGGGCGCGCAGACATGGCTCCCCCCTCCTTCCAGAGGCGGCCCTCGGACATCTCCTGGGGTGCGCTCTGGCGGTCCTGGTGCGACGAGGGGCCTGCTGGAAGCCCTCGACACTCGGACCTTCGATTCTCGAACCTCCTCCTCTTTCTGTTCCCTCTCTGGTTCATGGCAGCGGTCCGACGCCCGCAGAACAGGATTCGAGGGCGCGCAAACATGGATCGGCGATCCATGGATCTGGCGCGCGGTCGCAAGATCCATGGATCCGGGGAGTTTTCCGCCACTTTGTTGGCCTCTGGGGGCCCCTACCCTGCCTCGGGGCCGTCAAACAAAAACGGCTCGGGAGGACAAGCCGGTCCTGGGGAATGGGTCGAGAACTCTGGGAGTCGACGCAATGAACGCAATGAAGCAATCATGACGTCGGGGCTCTGGGATCAGGGCTGGACCTGAACGGCGTTTTTGGCGACGTCGTGGGCAGTTTTCGTTTCGCCTTCGTTTTGAAGTAGAGGCGGAGTCGAGGCAGAAGCGAGGGGAAACGAAAGCAAAGCGAACACGAAAAACACCGTTTCGATTCGGCCCTGCCTGGGATTGGCGTTAAGTCGGGCCTGTCCCCCTACATGGGGATTTTCGACGAAACATAACGAATACCCCAAAAATACACCAAAAAGATAAAACAAATGCTCAACAAATCGTCCCCAGAGTATTTTTGGATTACTTTTGACCTTTTTGGGGGGTATTTTCTATTTGTCATCGAAAATCCCCCTGTAGGGGGACAGGACCGACTTAAGATTGGCGATGCATGGAGCTGGCGCGCGGTCGCCGAGCCCAAGGGCTCGGGCAGAGGGCCCTCCCCCAAAAGAAGGCGGCCGGTGCCGGCTCGCTCGGACGGCGGAGACCTGCGATCTCCCCCTCCTCCTGCTCCTGCTCCTCTTCCTCCTCCTCCTCCTCCTGATCCAGCTCCTCCTCCTCCTCCTCCTCCTCCTCCTCCTGCTCCTGCTCCTCCTCCTCCTCCTCCTCCTCCTCCCCTCCTCCTGCTCCTCTCCTCTCCTCCTCCTCCTCGTCCTCCTCCTCCTCCTCTTCCTCCTCCTCTTCCTCCCCATCCTCCTCCTGCTCCTGCTCCTCCTGCTCCTGCTCCTCTTCCTCCTCCTCCTGCTCCTGTTCCTCCTGCTCCTCCTCCTCCTGCTCCTGCTCCTCCTGCTCCTCCTGCTCCTCCTGCTCCTCCTCCTCCTCCTCCTCCTCCTCCTCCTCCTCATCATCATCATCATCATCATCATCCTATTCCCCCCCACTCGAGTTCCAGGGAGACCCGTCGCTCCTCCACGCCCCCATGGAGCCACGTCTGCGATCGCCCGAGTCCCTCTCGCCGTGCCCTTACGTCGGGCCTGCTCCCCTACAGGCCGATTCGGAGCGAAAGTTGCAACAAAAAGACCCCCCAAAATGCACCAAAGAGGCTCGAAGGTGGTCAAAAGATAGTCCCCAGACTATTTTTTGACTATTTTTGGATATTCCTCCTGTGGAGGGACAGGCCCGACTTAACCCCATTGAGCCATGTCTGCAATCGCCTGCATCCCTCTCGCCGTGCCCGCTGGATGCGCCCCTGCCTCCCCTCGTCTTTCGTCTTCCCTCTCCCCTCCCTCCCCTCTCCCTCCTCTCCCCTCTCCCCCTCCCCTCTCCCCTCCCTCCCCCTCCCCCTCCCTCCCCTCATCTTCCTCTCCCCTCCCTCCCTCTCCCCTCTTTCGTCTTCCCTCTCCCCTCCCTCCCTCTCCCCCCCCCATCCCCTCATCTTTCGTCTCCCTCTCCCCCCTCCCCTCCCCCCTCTCTCTCCCCGGGCATCCTCTCGACGTGGGAAGAAGCACGACGGGGGGGGGTTCTGGGGGGGGTTCTGGCAGTTGTCGGAGTCTGGCAGCTCCCGCTGAGCTGAAGTCGGGCGTGTCCCCCTACAGGGGGATTTTCGACGAAAAAAACATACAACAAAAATGCTCCAAAATGGTCAAACAATAATCAAAAAATAGTCCCCTGACTATTTTTGGACTATTTTTGAATATTCCTCCTGTAGAGGGACAGGCCCGACTTAATGCTGGGCCCAGGACGATCAAAGACCTTCTTGGAATGAAAAACTGGGTGTGGTCCAGACCTCGTTGCGAAACCATCACGGCGTCGGAGATCTGCAGTCTGCCCCTCGCCCTCCTCTCGAAGTGGCACCGTGAGCGCCCGCTGCTCTCAATCGCCATGCTCTCGGCCGTCTCCACGGGACCCCCCCGCCCGGCCATCGCGTGAGCGAGTCCTCGATGGCGCAGGTGAGGGTGTGGCCAAGGTGCAGGGACCCTGTCACATTCGGCGGCGGAATCACCATCACGAACTTCTTGTCCTGTGCGGGGCGCGCACAGGAAGGAGCGGCCTATCGGGAGAAACGAAGCGGCTCCAACCGCCAGCCCGTATCCCAACCCTTTTGGCATGAGATGCTGCCCTGTGAAACCCACATCTGCCTGTGTGTGGGGGGGGAGGGCGCGGGAGCGGATCAACTCGCGCGTGCGTGGCGGGCCCAAGGCGCGCTTGCGCACGTAGCGCGTGCGTGGCCCGTACCAGCCTGACCTCGGCATCATCGCTGACCAAGAAATGTGTATGTGTGTGTGTGTGTGTGTGTGTGCTGTCGACCCTCGCTCCGCGCTTCCCTCTCCACTTTGATTGCCCCCCTTGCCCTTGTCTTGCCGGCCCCGTGTCGTCCTGTTCGGCCAGCAGCGGCCTCCGCCGATCGTTTGAACTCTGCCAGCTGCCTGCTGGCCGGCGCACGTGCGCGCCCAGGAGACTTCCGGAAACTGGAGGCCGGGCCCTCTCCACGACGCTTAAAAGTGTGTGTGTGTGCTCTCGCCCGCCAGACCTGTCATGCACCGCCTGGCTGTTCCGCCCTGTTGCCGACGATTTGCGGTCTTCGGGGGCTCTCGGGCCAGCTGCACTGCTCCACACGGAAGAGAACTTGCCCGGAAGGCGACACCTCATTATTCATCTGCCGATTGGACTCCTCGGCGCGTCGAAGGAGAAAGTGTGTGTGTGTGCGCCCGATCGCCGGAGCAGGACCCTCTGCCCAGCCGCCGACGCAAAAGTGTGTGTGTGTGTGTGCGCGTACGTCTGTGTGGTGGTTGGGAGGAGGGGGCAGTGGGGACGGGAGAGATATAGAGCTGGTAAGGGGAGGGGTTATGTGGAAAGACGCAATGCCACGGGTTGAAGGCAAAGTGCCAGGTGAGCTAAACGAGCACCGAACCTGCGCAGTCCATGGGAACGGGTGATTCTTGGCCCGCGGCTCGGCCAGCGCAGTGATCATGCGTCGACCATCGACGGTTGCGGAAAAGCATGCCACGAACAACCACTGACTGCAACGTGTATTCGGTCAACTCCCCGAGATCATGCCCCAACATTTACCTGACTGCCTTGCGCCCAACAGCTCTGCGCTGCAAGGCTTCTTGGGCTGCTTTGGCACATGCGCATCGTTTCGTCTGCTCTGCTTTCCGCTGGGCTGCTCTGCCTCGGATCCAGATCACACGTGCCCTCGAGGCACAGGAGGCACAAGGATGATGTTGCTCCTATCGCGCTTAAGGACCACATCCCCAAAGCAATGTCGAGCACCCAGAAAAGTGTCGAAAGAGCGTCGAAACGGTGTCCGACGAGTGTTCCCCAGGGCCGGGCGCGTGAAAACCCTCGAGTTGCGGTACTTTTTTCTGGTGCTCGAAGTTCTATCTGGTGATCAAGGCTAAAGTAGGCTGGAACATCATAATACAAGGACAGCGTGCAGCAAACGACGTCGCGGCACGTGGCAACCCTCGAGTTTCGGTACTTTTCTGGTGCTCGGCATTCTATCCGGTGATCAAGGCCAAACTAGGCTGGTGCATCATAGCACAGGGACAGCATGCAGCAGACGACGTCGTCGGGAGGACGACCCCCCGTCGCTCGCCGCCGACACGAGGCACAGGAAGCACGAGGACAGCACGCAGCAAACGACGTCGTCGTGAGGACGACCCCCCCCGAGGAGGAGGGAGGACGCGAGGACGCCGGGGGCGCCGGTGGGCGGACCGCCGAGGGCGGAATCGTGAGGCCTGCGGCTGCTTCTTGGCGGCCTCGACGTCGGGGATGAAGAACCCCTTGGCGGGCCGCAGGCGCGTCAGGCTGGAGGGCGAGGGCGAACGAGGGAGGAGGAGGAGGAGGAGGAGGAGGAGGAGGAGGAGGAGGAGGAGGAGCAGGAGCAGGAGCAGGAGCAAGAGCAGGAGGAGGGACGGGCGCGGAAGGAAAAGTCGAAAATACAGGAGTGGAGGAGGGAGGTCAGGTCAGGTCATCCGCATAAGGGAGTCAACGTCAACACCCACGAAGGAGCTGCGCGTGCGACTAGCTAAATCCCCTGCGATGGAGGAGGGAGAGAGGGAGGGAGGAGGACAAACAATTTCTGCAGCTACGACAGCTAGACACATGTACGTTCGAGGGCACCGCAAATCTATATGACTTTTGTCAACGCGTGGCGGCGAAGTTGAATGACGACATGGGAACATGTTTCCGCGGGGATGTTTAACTCACATGCCCTATCATCCTGCCAGCTGGGAGGAGCGTGCGCTCCCAACGAACGCAATAGACTGGATCGAACGCCTCCACTGCATGTCTGTGGGGGAAGCCCATGAGAATTTGATCCAGCTAAATACTCCTCCTCCTCCTTCTCCTCCTCTTCCTTCCATTCCCGCCCTTTTCCAGGTAACATGAAGTCATTCGAGAATACATCAATGACATGCCCCTGCATTACATTGAAGGCAATGAGGCGTCACTGCGATCGAACTCACTTATACAGTTAAATGACGTGGGACTCTCATGGGCCACTCTCTTGGTCCATTTTGATGGCGACTACTTCGATCTGCCCCCCTCCTCTATTCGACTTGCTCTTGTTCTTACCATTTAGAGCGCTCTGGAACAAAGCTCGCGGAGGTTTTTCCAAATTGTCACATAAGTTCTTCTCTCGACCAGTATGAACGAAATCCTTCTGCACTCCACTACGTAAAGGATCCTTTCGAAATCAGTCACAAAAGAAATACGTGTGTCATCCGTGACAGAAGGGATCCTCTCATAATCCGCAACAGAATTACTCCCTGCGTGGCGGGCGCACAAGATGACCGACGGCCCACGGGGGGCCAGCCCACCAAAACCAAACAACAGGAAAGCAATACAAACGCAAACAAACAGAACAACTGCTGATATTTCCTACGGTTCACAAGAACCCTTGTGCAATCCCCAACAACAAATCCTTGTGCAATCCGCCACAGAAGGATTCCTTATCTGGCGGGTTCACGAGATGACCGAGGGCCCAGGGGGGCGCCAATCAAAAATGCAAGACACGCGACACAAATCAAGAAAGAACCAAACAACATAAAACAGCCGATGCTCTTGACGAGTCCGCAAATCAAAATGCGGAGGGGCTTTCGAGATTTTCAAATGAGTTGTTGTCTCGTCCGCCGCACGAGGGAAACCTCCTGCAAGCAATCCTCCGCAAACGTAATCCTTATGCAATCCGCCACACAATGAATTCTCGTGTAATACTTTTACTATGAAAACGCATTATTCTGCAACCCGTCATGAAAAAGGTTTATTTTGTGGCGGACGCACCAAATCACCGAGGGCCGAGGGGGGGCGCCGGCCCAACAGAAACAAGGCAGCAAGCATATCATTTTCTTACAGCGCCCGCGCGCCAGCTCGGCCTGCGAGACGCGCTGGGAAGCGCCACTCCCCAGCCGTCAGCGCCACCGCGGCCGCGTCTGTCGCGCCAGACAAGCGGGCCGCTCCGCGCGCGAGCCTGCGCTCTCCAGCGCGCGCGCGCACTGATGCACCAGCCAGCGCGAAGCAGTCATCGCTATCGCCACCGCATCGGCTTTGCAAACCACGTTGCGGGCGGGTTGGGCGAGATGGCTGCGCCTGCAATGGGGTCGACCAACCGCCGCGAACGAAAGCATATTCTCCTTTCGACAAGGCACATAGGCTCTGGCCCCTCCCCACACCCCTGGACTTAACGGTGCCCCTTCGCGTATTGCGTTCTCATTTTTTTCCTGACCACTCGCCATTTCTAAATTCGAGTTTTCCAATTCTTCCGAGTACTCTTGCTCATCCCCCCTCATCCTCTGCCAAAGATACTATGCGCGAGCGTTTGTTTATCAATAATCCCAAGCTTTCAGAATTCGTTTGCAAAAGATAGGGCAAAGTGAACGCGCGCGCGTCATGCCGAAAACCTTCAGAATCTGTAGGTTCTGCGCGAATTTCAAAATCGAGTGCCCCGAAAGCACATACAGACGCATAGATGCGCCAGACGTATAATATTCTGAGACAGCGCTTGGACGCCCCCTCGGGATTATCGCCACCCCCACGGGGATGTGCACTTTCAATGTGATCCTGCCCCGTCGCTCATTCTATACACACATACGTATGCAATCCCAGCCGAGCTGGGTTCGACCCCCACCCATCCACGGGCAATAGTACTACGCGAACGCACTCGCTCATCGCGAACAAAAACATCGAACGAGGCCCGCGCAAAACGTGGGACGAAGTCTATGCGCGCGCGCTGTCGCGCGCGCGAAACATTAGTTCTGCAACGTGGTGCTCCAAAAAAACCGCGCGCTGGCGCGAATTCCTGAGAGCCATAAGCTCTTCAACATCGCCATCAAATGCGACCGAGCGGGCCTCTCGCGCGCGCGTGTCAAAACCATTCCAACGTGGTGTGGGTGGGGAGCGTGGGCGGGAGGGTGAAGTGCGCGCGCGTGCGTGCGCGTGTGCGTGGTGGTGGTGGTGGTGGTGGCGCGGCGTGGCGCCTCTCGAATCGCGCCACGCGGAGCACTCGCGCCCGTCGGCCGCGCGTGCAGCTCGAAATCTCTTCAAAGCCATCATCGCCGACGCATTCACACCATTACCGCCGCCGGCGCGATCGGCATCGGTGCCGTCAGTGGCCCCCCCGTCGTCGTCACTGTTACTCGCATCGCTCCTATCATCATCGCGTCTGCTGTTGCCGACCTCTTTGTTTGATCGATGTTATTTAGGATGGCCCCAGGAGCGCCTCCAAAGTGCCCAAGGGCCGCCCAGGAAGGCCCCGAGCGGCGCCAGGACAGCCCCGAGAGGCGCCCAGGAGGCCTCCAACAGGCCCCCAAGAGGCCTCGAGAGGATCTCCCAGCACCGAAAACGTTCAAAGAAGCCCGTTGGCCCCCCAAGAGGCCCCCTAGACGCCCCAAGAGGCCCCCAATAAGCTTCCAGGGCGCATCCGAAGACTCTCCGAGAGGCACCGCATTCAAGAGGCTTTTGGCTCGTCTGCTCGCCCTTGTCCTCCTCTCCCTCCTCCGCCTCCTTTTCCTCCTCCGCCTTCCCCTCCTCGTCCTCATCCGCCTATTCCTCCTCCTCCTCCCTTCGTCCTTCCTTCCTCCTTTCCCCCCCACCTCCTCTCTGGCCTTCTCCACGTTTTCCTCCTCCTTCCCCATCCTCGCCAATCCTCCTCCTCCTCCTCCTCCTCCTCCTCCTCCTCCCCCTCCTCCTCCTCCTCCGCCTCCCCCTCCTCCTCCTCCTCCTCATCGTCCTCGCCCTCCTCCTCCTCCTCCTCCTCCTCCTCCTAAGCCTTCGCTTCTTCCTCCGCCCATTCCTCCTCCTGCCTCCCCCTCTTGGGGCACGACGCTTTCTCGAGCCCTTTGTTCCTCTGCATGCCCCCCTGTTTCCGTGATCACATCAACTACCCAGGGCATCGTTTCTGGATTGACTGGTGAGGTAGCTTTTCATCGTTCCGCGGACGCGCGACACGAGTCGAACGCCGAGCGTGCTAGGGCGGGCCGCGCCCGTAGCGGAGTCGAAAGAAGTGCAAGCGGCAGCGCGCGGACGAGTACAGCAGTACCACCCAGCCAGCGGTCACCTACCGAAGAGCGTGCGGAAAGGCGAAGAGCGCGAGGGCACGGCCGCATACATGTCGAACATGAGGCGCTGCAGCGCCCCGAAAACGCAGAGAGGACGAGAAGAGACACATGGCCGGGACGGGTAGGACTGAACCGCCACGCCGACCAAACAAAAACACCGCCAACACGACGCGGGAGACGCAGCCAAAATGGCGCGGAAGGAAAGCCGCAGGCCGACTTGCGGTTTGCGGCGCCAGCCATCCGTGTAGCCGTGACCAGCGCGCACCCGAGGCCAAGGGGCAACCTTGTTGCACAGGTCGGATTTCAAATTGCCGTCGACGGACACCGTGAGCCCCGCGTGCACGAACCCGAACACAAACGTGGCCGGCGCGAGAGGACCGCGCAAGTGAGCGCCGCCCATCAGGTAGCACGAGTGGAGCCCAGCGCGCACCCGAGGCCCAGGGGCACCTTGTCTTACAGGTAGGACTTCAGACACCGTGCGCCTCACGTGCACGATCCCGAAGACAAAAACGACCAGCGCGAGAGGACCGTGCAACTAAGCGCCGCCCATCAGGTAACCCGAGGGTGGAGCGGCGGGAGACCATGCGGAGGCCGGCGTCCGCAAGTGCCTGCCAGGGGGACCGTGTCGCTTTGGGCGAAGTGGGCCGCTTGCAGGGATGAAGTTCGCCCGTCCAAATCAACAACATGAACCCTTGCGGCCGTCACGTGGTGGAATGAACGGGAGCGGAGGCCCGGGGGAGCTGGTGCCGCGCTAGCCGGACCAACCCAGAAAAAAGGTTCAGATGAGGCAGCTGATCGCTTCAAGCACTCGAAATGTCTCGACAGAGGAATACACGTGGTACGCAGCTGCTCGCTGCAAACACTCGAAAAGCCTCGGCAGAGGGATACCCGTGGTAAGCAGCTGATCGCTGCAATCACTCATCGAACCTCCGTAGACACATGCTCAAGGTAAGCAATAATCGCATCGACAGAATGCGGATCGACCCGGCTTGAGGGGACGCAGGAAGACGGGGTCAAAGGCTCCGTTCGTGAAGCATCCTGGCGCGCGGCACTCGGGCGCTCCGTCTGCAAATGCTCTGAAAAACCTCGGCAGAGGAAAGCCCCAGGTGGACTGGCAGCTGATCGCTGCAGATACTCGGAGGACCTCGGCAGAAGGCACACCCAGGGTGAAGCCGCCACCGCGAGCAGGCAACAAAAGAGGGGTTGCAGGCGGCTGGGGGCCCTGC